TTCAATAAATGTATAGCATACCTACTGATTATGTCAGACTGTGTTTTATGTTTTTCTCAGGATAAAATGATCACACCCATGTTCTATGTGGGAACTTCAATTCTTTGCTTATCCATGTGCGATAAGGGACTCAGCTTGTCGTCAAGGGTCCTCCAGAATTCTCTCTGCCCACCTCTGTGCATCTTTACTGTGACATGTTTCGTGGTTTTGCACTTGAATTCTCTGTAAGACTTAATTTCCCATCCCATTTATTTTAATGCTAAAGTTTATACCTTGTACTTAATTGGCAATGTAAAGCACACCTCTCCCTGATGATTGATAAAGAATATGGGCTTGAGTTCTCTGATGCCACACTGATTAAAAGCTGTTATGAAAAAGGACACTGTAGGAAAACTGTCAAGAGGTTATGTAGTCCCGCTTACCTCCATCGCTGATTCTTAAAATACATTATACAGAATATTAATCCTAGTATAAGTATATCAATAATACATTTTTATGGAAAAGAACAGAGATTTTCTAAGATCAAACAATCTTAGAAAATGTTAGGAGAGAAGGAATTCTTAGATACTTCAAAATGCTGATGTACAACATCCATTTCAAGAGAAGAATGAAGTATGTAGTACCATTCAAAGTTAGCTGAGAACTTTTGGGGTTAGCTCCCGAGTAACAGTGCAAAATAACATCCTATTTTTTTAATCACCCATTAGCGGCTTTCTAAAGTTGATCTCTGAATCAGATCAGATCATAAAGAAACTGAGTAATTAGATAGCTTTTTAGAAACTCGTAGTTTACTTACTTTTACTCACTTACATTTTGGAACTATAAATTTTTCTTATGCTACGAGAAGTAACATGGATAAACTGTGCTTCTATTAAGAGCTGGTATCCACTCAAAAAAATGCTTTGAGTTGTATTTGGTTCTGATCTACAAAAGATATCATTTAACATTCCTGTCCAGCAGGAGAAGACTGTTGTCTATCATTTTTCTAATTAATAAAGGACTCCATAATTTATACATTATTGTGTCCAATTAATGTTATATAAGTAACAACTTAGACAAATATAATTCCAGAAAACATCATATATAACATAAAATGTTTTATGTACTTAAAATCTGACTGTTACCTTCTGGAGAGATCACTAAGAACATTTGAATTTAACACTGGTAAGTAATTCAGAAAAAAATTTCTGTATTGGGTAGTGCAAGGAGAACTTATGACTATTTCAAGAAGTTTCTTAAATGTGGCAAGATATAAGATTCTCTACAAGCCCAGGAGTGTAGCTCAGTGGTGCTGTGCCTGCCTAGCAAGCAAAAGGTCCTGAGTTCCATTCCCGGTACAAAAAAAAAAAGATTCGGTACAAAAGTAAATTTTAGAAGACCCATCCATTTATTCTTTATGACCCTAAAGTTACTAACATATAAATGTTATCTGTCTCCACCTTTGAGACCGTGAATGTTTTAAACACTTGATGTAACAGGATTCTTTTCTCTTATAATTAACCTATTATTTTAAGTTCAGTAGAATTAAAAATCTTGTTAGCTTTGTAATTTCCATTTCCACCCTTTTCAAACTATAGACACTGTATTAATTATAACTAATATGCTTCCTTCAATTGATTGTAAACCACTGGAAAAACAAAAAAAGCAAGAGTGCCTTTGGAGCTTCTTACAATAATTAGGAGATGATTCTGACATTTAGTGAAAGAGAGTCAAGATTGCTAACCAACCTGCCTTCTTTTATATAATAAAATATCATCCAGCCAAAAATGCAAAAAATCTACTTAAGAAACACTAGCCACAAAAAATCTAACAAGCAAATTACGATATATTCTAAAATATGAGCAGCCTTATTATTAGAGCAATTATCATTCAAACTTGACAACTTGACTATAAAATATTTATGGAAAAATGAAGGACCAAGGACACCAAACCCAATTTACCTTTCCAGGTATCTACTTATATGCAAACAACTGTAACTGAAACGATATACAAGAGAAATAAGAATAGACAATTCAATCCATAAAACAGAAGAAAAAGTCCAGAAACAAACACATGTACATATGGAAACACAATTTATGACAGCAATTATATAGCAGGTGTGGAAGGATGTATTATTCTCTAAATCACACTGGGACAATTGATCATCCATATGAAAAACCAAAATACAGCTGGACTTAGTGGTGTACTGGAGCTAGATCAAACCAATCAGTTGCTAAATATTCCAGAATTTCAAAAGTATATCGTTAAACTACTGGTAGCTGGAAATCAGCCACAGTGTGGGTATTTAAAGCATAGAAATCAGCGAAGGTTACACACCAGGGCTCTCCTACCCACTCCGAGCGAGTTTATCAGCACATCACTGATTGCATTTCTACCTTGTACCGTATACAAAAAAAAATCAGTTTTAAATGGATGAAAAATCTAAGCATGAAGAGCAAACTTTATGACATAGAAGAAAACATACAATGGAAAATATCTTTAAAATCATGAGACTGTAAAGTTCTCAACAACCAGCAAAGTGATGAAACTCAAGGGACAAATTTACTAAATATGACTACATAATGATAATTTTTAAAACCACACTGAGTTGTTGTTACAGGGTACCATTTAAGAAGTAAAAAAAATTTGATCAGACTGGGGGATAACTGCTACACATCTAAAAAGGATTCATATTCAAAAATATATCAAAGCCATCTACAAATCAATGAGGAAAAGATAGATAACCCAGGTGAAAAATTGGCAAAAAAACTAAAGGATATTCTGATAGCCAATAAACAAAAAAAAGATCTCAAGTAGTTATCAAGGAAACGCAAATCGATAGCATAGACATTTCAGTTTTCCCAAGTTATTTAAAATATGATAAACCCTAATCTTTGCAACTAGGTGGAGCAACTCATACGATGACAAAAACAGTGTATACTGGGGCACCAATTTGCACTGTACAGCCAGCAAATTGCAGATGTGTAGCACAGATTGTCAGCTGGTCCCTAACCTTCACTCACTATCATCATTTCTTCAGGAGGAGGAGAGGCAATGCAATTGGGAGCAAAACTATTTACACAGTGCTTTATTTCTTGAAGAAATGAAAAGTTCAAGGTTATGACAATATTCTCTTACCTTTGTGGTTCTAAAATATTTTTCATTTTAAACACGTTTAGTTTTGGGGTGATAAACACCAACACGTTCATTAAGCATATTTTAAGCACCCTGGTGAGTCATCTTATGGAAATGAAAACGTGGATCTGGAACTTTCTTGAGATTCTCTACCATGTACATCCCACTCCATAACTCACTTTGTAGATTCATAATGTACATAATTGTAGATTTCCTAAAAGGTCTTTCCAGGGCTTGTGATGAAACAAACTAGTGTATGAAGCCATGAAATTTTTTTTTCTTTTTGGTACCGGAGATCAAACTCAGGACCTTGTGCCTGCAAGGCAGGCGGTGGAACCACTGAGGTAAATCCCTGGCCTAAGCCATGATTTTTAAATTAATACATCACTCTATTATTGGATATGTATATAAGAAATAGTCTCGTTTAAGTTACTATAGGCCCGGTTAAGGAAAAGACATCTCTCTCGTATCATAGCTGCCACAGACAGGAGACACTCAGTGAAAATTATATGATATCTGGAATTCACCCATGAAAGTATTGAGTGTCTTGGAATCTTTAAACTTCTATGTTATGAATCACAAGATGATATCCTTCCCAAAAATATGAACCTAACAGGAAATCTTAGGGAAGCACCCTGGGAAAATGATCTGAGAAACGGAGGTAGCCTTTTGGGTGGAAGCTGTCTACTCGAGCTTGGCAAGTCACAGAAGTTAGTCTTCCTAGCAGAAAAGGTAAGGAAACTAGCCCGTGTTGACTACAGCACTCAGTGTGGGTTTTATCACTTGTCATGGCATCTAAACCTCACAGTTCTATGAGGTTGGTCTTCCCAACTCTACAAGAGATTCTGAGGAGTCAAGTATCTTTTAGTATTTTCACAATTTATACTGAAAATGTGGTTTAAAATGCAGAAGATGGAAGACAAGGTGCGTGCAGATGACATTAAAATCCAACTGAGAAGGTGCAAACTAAATGAATAGCTTCTTCCCACCTGGTAATTATTCCAGTACTAAAAATACTGGTTCCATATTCAGGACTGTTGTCCTTATACTGCCCTCTGTTTAACTTCTTCAGTCTTCCATAGTAATTTCTACGTAAATTAGTTTAAATTTTGTATCTCGTTCCTGGTTCTCAAGCTTGCATTTCCAAGTGAAAATGGGTGACATTTCAAAGACTTCAAGTTCAGGACGTCCAAAGGAAACTCATTATCATTAATCCAACCCCATTCCTTCCTCTTTCGTCCCGAGTTAAGGGCTGCATCTCATTATTAGTTATGGCAATGACTCTTTCAAGTTGGACTTATTTGTTTGTCACACTTTCCTCTCAGCGTATCTTCAAAGACCAATTATTATTCTCAATAGTCAGAGCTAGCACTTCCTAAGAACCCCCTCCCCTGAGGCCCGCCTGCCTCGGCTGCGAGTGGCACTCAGAGCACACGTCTGCTCTAAACCCTGCACTTGAGACCGTGTGGGCAACTCCCGAGGACAGCGGTGTTCGAGACAGAAGTCAGACGGGACTCAGGCAGCCAGATGAATATAAATATCCACACGAAACTCGACCCGGGCGGTGGGTCGGGGGGGGGGGGGTTAGGCCGGTGTGCGCGGAAAGAGGGATGCAGAAGCGGGAAAAGCCGAAAGAAGCGGAGGGAACCGACGAGCTAGGCCGGAGCGCCCCAGGCCAGGAGGGGAGCTCGCTGCAAACACCCACAGGCGTCACCGCAGCGCTGCGTCCTGCTGCTGCTCAAACTCAACTAGTCGGTCATTTTTAATCTAGAAACTGCGACTAGCCGCAAATCATCCAGCATAGGAGACTGCAGAACAGCCCCGACTTGCACATGCGCGGCCAGGCGCGGGCTCCGGCCACACCCATGGCCCACGGCGGAAGTGACGCACACACGAGGCGCGGCCGGGCTCCGCACCGGAAGTGCCTCGCGGGCAGTAAATAATCCCTGGAAGGCGAGCAAGGAGCTGTCTCCATCTTGTCGGCACCTTCCCCGGCGACGCGGTGGCCATGGGGAGCGTGCTGGGGCTGTGCTCCATGGCGAGCTGGGTAAGGCGGCCCTGCTCGGCCTCGGGTGCCGGCGTGCGGGCCGGAGGAGGGCGACCCGAGCGGGAGCGGGCCTGGCTCTCCCCCCTGCAGGGAGTGCGGGGGACCCGGGTTCTTCCGGTTGTCCTGCGCACTTCGGTCTGTCGGGGCCTAACGGCGCGTGGAGGCCGGGGCACCCGGAGGGAGGGTGCGGAGAGCCCAGGCCCTGCGGGGCCGCCCGCTTCCGCCCCCGCCCCCGCCGACTGCGGCAGCGCGGCCCGGCCTCTGTTCCGCGCGGGCGGGGCTGTGCTGCGGCCTGGCCCTGCCCTGGTCTGGGGCTGCGGCCTGGCCCTGCCCTGGTCTGGGCCTGCCGGCTTAGGGCTCCCGGTGCTGCTCCGCGGAGGGTGCGCGCGCAGGGGTGGCGCTGGGGACCCCCAGGCGGGAGCGTGCTTGTCGGGCTTTGCTGCCATGGCTGTGCCCTGTGCCCTGGCTCTTTCTCGCTGGCGTTGAGAGGGAAGCCCGTTTGTGCGCCAATAATGTGTTAAATGCCCTGATTGAATTCGCTGACTTGTAGGTAAAGGAGGCAAATTTAATGAGATAAAAAGTGTTAGAAGCTAATAAATGGTTATCATAAGGTTGTTTTCCTCGATTTTTTGGTTTAAGGTGTTATGTAATTTAATTTGTAATGTCAGAATCTGACCCAGTTATTCAGTGGGTGTAGTGTAGTTTGTAGAGATTTAGAAGGACGGAAAACGTTTTAAGGATTTTTTGTATGTATGTGTTTTAAGTCAAAGGAAATAGCTTTAGAGAACACTAATGGGGAAAAATTGTATTCTCAGTAATACTCTTACACCTTAGATTGCTGCTTTTGTTGAGTAAAAGAATGTCCTTGATAAAACTGACACTGTCTTTTAGTTACTTTAATATCTAGATAATTGAACAGTTAGTAATCAGCAGTTTTCTTCCATGTGATAGGTGACCATCATTGGGCCCGCCACCGTGAGTGTCCCTGCTGCTGGCCTCTCCCGAGTGCCAGGCCCGAGTGGCTGCGCCCGATTTTCCTGTGCCTCTTCTGGGGGAGATCTGGGGCAAGCCTGTTGTCCAGCACCTTTAGGGTTTTCAGGGGCAAAGGGGAAGTGCTAGGTGGCCAAGGGGTTGCTCGTGGTTCTGGGTCATACTGGCTGATCTAAGAATCTAAAGTGTGTAATTTGAATTATTCTTTCTCTTTGTCTCTGTTTCTGAATTTTTCTTTTTTCTTTTTTTTTTTTTTGCCTTGCTATATAGAAATCCATCTTTTCTACGTGCACACAAAAGAAATAACTAAGGAATTGCTGAATGTGAGATAAGTGTTTCTTATCTTAGTCAGGAGACCGTACCTAAGGAGGTTACTGAAGACAACTCTCTAAGGAGGCGATACCAGAATAGAGCTTTTCAGCTGGGCGTGATTTTACCCTTGTCTCAACCCCTGGATGTTTAAGCAATGTCTGCAGAGTTTTCTTTGGCATCACTTGAGATGTATGGGGCCATTGGCATCTTAATAGGTGGAGACCAGGGTGCCATTAAATATTCTACATTGTACAAGGCAGCCTCCAGCCAGAAAGAATATTCATCTCAAAATACCCATAATGCCATGACTGAGAAATCTTGTTCTAACTTTAAGAAAAAAAGATGATGTAAAACATTGGAGGAAATTTAAAGGGACATTTTAGTTTTACATTCACTGATAGGAAAGGTGGGAACATATTCACCATTCTCCTGCATCCTAGCTCTCATCAATTACATAACAATTTATTCAAAATTCTACATAATAGAATAATTCTGTGTGACTTAGGAAGAACGGCACACCGCTCATCTTTTCACTTCTTGGAGGCAGTGTTTCTTTAAATAGGTATCTCAGTGTTTATAAATAACATGCATATAATCATTCTTGACTTGAGGGAGGCTTTTAGTTTGTTTGTTTTAGTTCTGCCTTCTGAGTATGAGAGAGGAAGGCTTAGCAGCTGTCTTTGATTTCAGCTGGTCCTCATCCCATACCACCACCAGAATCAAACATACACCCTCATTATACCCTCTTCCTTTTCCGAAGCATTTGTAGTTTTGGTTAAACATTGTTGTGACTATTTAAATGAGTTAATATGTCTACAACCATCCTATGCATATAAATAGTTTTTATTTTTTAATAACTGGGTAATGTGCTTTACAGTGTAGCCATGTAATATGTGGTAACTTTTCCCCTCATGCACAACTTTTGTGCACGTTGGCGTTACTGCTGCTTTATTATCTGTGTATTTAGTTAATCTAACCCAACTTCCCCAGCTCTGTATGTCTGTCTCCCAGTAAATTCAGATGCCTGTGGTACCTGATCTAGGTTGTGATGCTGTGTCAGCACCTCACATCCACAGGTGCTGCACCAATTAGGAATGAAAATGATTACCCTCCTTTGCATTTGTACTGAATAGAGACTTGTTATTCTCCAAGCAGTTCAGTTAACAGCTATTCGCATAGCACTTACATTGTATTAAGTCGTACCACACAGTTCCTATGCCATTGTATAGAATGGATTTTGGTATCAGCATGGTACCATCTGCCCATGGCGCTAAAGGGAGGCTGTGCTGATAGACACTGTTTTCATCTGGGATTTTGCTTTCACTCAGATGAGGGCGCGCCTTCCCTTTCCTGGGCTGAAACCATTTTTACTGCGTTGCTTGTTCTCTTTCTGGGTTTGCATTTAGGTTCTGGTGTAATGGACCTTGAGAAGACAGCATAGGAAATATCCTGGGTGTGGGTGTAAAATTCTAAATCCGAAGCCAGTTCCCTAGAGTTTGGAAGGCTTTGCTCCTTTGTAATCTCACTTGCAGTGTTGCTGAAATTGGTCATTGTGAAATCATTTAGACATCTTTTCTGTGTTGCCTTTTCTCCTTCTATCCACCAGTCAGTGGAATTTCTTCAGGTCCCCCACCACCACCACATGCGTTTTTTTCTGTTTTCTTTCTGTTACACAGATTATGTGCTCCCTGAACCAGAATTCTGGGGATTCTCCTTTCTTGTTGTCTGTGTCATTGAATTTTTGGACTACTGTCTGAGAAATGTCCCTTGCTGCAACATTTTTAATTACCAAAAGACCGAGAGTTATTTTGGGTTTTTCCAGGTATGGAGGATTGAACCCAGGGACTTTATACTGAGCTATATCCCTAGCCCTTTTTCCTAATTTTTAATTTGAAGTAAACAGGATCTTGCTGAGTTGTCTAGGCAAGGCTTGAATTTATGATCCTCCTACCTCAGCCTCTCCAGGTACAGTGGACCCTCAAGTTAGGACCGGCCTGACATATGAACAACTTGGGTTAAGTTAATGGAAGATTCGTCTGCCTCACGTTATCCATAGCGTGTATTTAGGTAAATATCCAGATCTCAGCTGTATTGACTTACAACCAACTTGAGTTACAACCAGCCCTTGGGAACCAATCAAGTTCATAAGTCAAGGGTCCACTGTATTGGGGTTACAGGCATACTATACCACGCTCAGTTCACCCTGAGGTTTTTTTTCTGTTTCATGCCATCTAGTGCCTATTTCCTGGAATTACTACTCTTATCTCTTAAGTATACTTATTGTCTTTATGCTTTCATTTCTTTGCATAGTTTGTTTCTTTTAAGATTTTTCCACCCAATTTCTTTTCTTGGTAGAGTTTTCTGTGGAATATTTAGGAATGAGACCCAGAAGCACGTGGTAGAACTTGTCAGCTGACTTCACAATGAAGTGGACTAGTGGTGCCATTTTGTTACAAAAGCTGATGCAAGTATTTAGGGCAGTTGATGTGTCCTGAGAACTCTTCCAGTTTCCTGCCAAGAAAGCTTTCCCATGGAACCAAGAATGGTGAGGTTCTCACTTTCACAGATAAAGTTGATTCAGTGTTTTGTTAGTATGGATCCCTGTTGTGGGCGTAACTTGATGTTTCTCTGTCAAGACCTCTGATCCTGTAGTTGGCTGATGCAGGCATTGAAATGAAATCCAGTAGTCATGACTGCTCTTTGAAAAGACCTTGAACCAGTGATCTTGCTTTCACCTAGGGAGGCACTAGGTCCTGCCATTTCCTTCTGTTTATTGGCTGATTCTGCTGAACACATTTCCTTGCTGCTTATCTGGCACCTTTGTTAGCTATAAAATTCAGCTTTCTTATTCTGTGAAGACAGTTAATCGTTTTCAATTTTGTACCTTCCAGTTCATTCTCCTGTTTTCTGATATTTTAATTTCATTCTTTTTCTTAGTTTGGTACGGGGATGGAACCTTGGGGCCTTGTGCTCGCAAGGCAGGCGGCGGAACCACTGAGCTCAGTCCCCAGCCCCATCATCCTTTTTTTTCTGAAATCCCTTTATCTTTTTATTGAGGTTCTCTCAAGAGATCATAGGGTAATGCATGGATTCGTTTTGCCACTTTTAGCCATATGCTTGTTAGGCTGTTTCTTGTGTGTTGCCCTTGTGTTTTATAACCCTAATTCCCACACCAGTGGTTCTGAAAGTGGGTTTGTTGGACCCAGTAACATCAGAACACCTGGAAGCGTAGTATAAACCTTGTTTGGGCCCCAGAAATGTTTTGATAAACCTTCCAGGTAATTCTGATGCTTCCTCAGTGCTCCTGCTCTACGCTTCAGTAAATTCAAAGCTTTCCACTCCTTACTTTACCGTGGCTTCTAGCTCATTTTTGAATTTTAATGTCATCTCCTAGTTGATCACATTTTGTCGTCTAGCAGATTTTCTAAAAAAGAATTTATCAGTACTGAAATCCCTGAGTCTTTGTATTTAAAAATAACTGTTGGGGCTGGGGATTTAGCTCAGTGGTTCCGCTGCCTGCCTTGCACAAGGGCAAGGTCCAGAGTTTGATCCCTGGTACCAAAAATATAAATAAATAAATAAATAAAACTGTTAAGAACTTGAGACATTTTGGACTGGTAAAAATGGTATGCTGTGCTCATTTTCTTCAGAACTTTGTAGTTATTTTTCCATTGCGTTCTGTCTTTGGCTTTTTATCCACCCTCTCCCAATGTACATGTGCAGGTGACTGGGTTTTTTTCCAGCTTGAATATTTTAGTTTTTATTTATCTTTGGTATTAAATAAGATATATATGAGTTTAAATGTTTTATTACTTTTTTCCTTTCTCAGAAATAATGTGTTTTTGTCTGCGTGTTTTTATCTGCACATTTACCTGTGGATGTCTGGTTTTTTTGGAAGGTAATTTTAAAAGTATCTCTTAACTTCCTGTTATGTTTGTTTTCTTCCATATTAGTTTTTCTGTGTTCATTTTGTTACTTTTTAGAGAAGCTATGATTTACATACAGAAACATTATTTTTGGTATATAGTTCGAGTTATGAGAATGCATGTAAGTCCTGTGCCCACTGTAGAACAGTCATCCTGAGAAATTCCACTGTCTCAGCTGGGGCCCGCTTTCTGGCCTTTGGGTTTTACCTTCCTGGAGTATGATAGAGGTGGAATCATGGAGCATGTGGCCTTTGAGTCTGGCATCTTTTACCTAACATAATTAGTTGACAATCTGTTTATGTTGCTGTGTCTATTAGTACTTTAAGTGTTATTGTTGAGCAGCATTCCATTGTGTGGTTTTTCCACGGCTTATCTGTCCACTTAATGTTTGAGGGGCATTTCCAGATTTTGGTGATTACAATTAAAATAGCTGTAAGCGTTCCCATCTGAAAGATTTTTGTATGACTCTTTAAGACCTTATACCTAGGGGTGGCATTGGCAGGTTACTATTTATGGTTAGTGTATGTTTGACTTAGAAAAAACTGATTTTTAAAATAGCTGTACCATTTTTTCATTCCTACCAGCAAAGTGTTAAGTTCTAGTTGCTGTGTGTTCTTGTCAGTAGTTGATACTACTGGGATTTTTTGGTTATTGTTGTGTTTTAATTTTAGCCATTATGCATTTAGTATTTTATGATCATAATATGAATTTCTCTAACAGCTACTCATACCAAGCAGTTTTTATTGTTTATTTTGCCATCCATAGCTTTGCCTATTTTTAATTGGTTCATTTTGTCTTCTTACTGAGTTATGAAAATTCCTTTTATATTCTGGAGTTAGATACCTGATCTGCAAATATTTTCTTCAGTCATTGGCTTACTTTTTCATTCTTTTCGTGGTGATGTTGATTTTTTTAAATTGTTGTTTTGGACAGCATCTCACTATATTCCAGGATGGCCTGAAATTCACTGGGTAGTTCAGGGTGGCGTCAAACATTCGATCCAACTACCTCAGCTTCCCAGAGAGCTGGGATTACAGGCTTGTACCACCACACCTGGCTGGTGTTGTAATTTTTATGAGGCAATGTTTATCTTTTTTTAAATTGTTTTTGTTTTTATATTATAACCAGGTCTGCCATTTTGCTTATACGACTGTTCTGATTACTGTAGCCGTCCTCAAACATGACAACAGCATGTTCCATCCACACATACCGCTTACCCTGTCTCCTCTGGCAGGATACACTTGACGCCTCGCTGCTCTCCCTTTTCCTTAGGAGGCTCTTGTGATGTTCACCGGTCTGCGGAGTTCTTTGGCCAGATAGATACATATTGTTCTTCCTCTGTTTTAATTGACCTTTTTTTTTTCTTTTGGTACCGGGGATGGAACTCGGGACCTTGCGCTTGCGAGGCAGGCGCCCGAACCACTGAGCTACATCCCCGGCCCTTAATTGATCTTTTATTAGTTCCAGTCCCAATCCTCTAAGAAAATTTCTCTGTGATATTTTCTGCTTGTTATTTTCTTTGTAAACTCTGAAACTATTTATGCCTGGCATATTTAGGATGGAGTAAAACAACCATTGGCCAGTGTTTTGTGTTGCAAGTGACATCACTATAGTTGCTGCATAACATGTTGACAACATCTACTCCACCTTTCGTTTTGTTGTCAGTTGTGACCATTTCTGGCTTCATTTGTGTTGAAGATTCACTATCAATCTTTTTTTTGGTTTGGTTCTTTGAGACAGGGTCTGGCTATGTACTCCAGGCTATCCTTGATCTCATACCACGTATCACCAGCTGACCTTGAACTCACAGGATCCTTCTGCCTCAGCCAGGGCTCCCCAGCTCTCCCCCAGTATTGGGTTTACAGGCATGCACCACTACACCTCACTTCACTATCAATCTTATCATTGTGGTGTAACTGACAGAGGGGAGATAAAAGTAACTCCCAACCTGCTAGATGTCAGATACTCCGAGTTCATGTTGCCCAGTCAAAGAATTAATTCTAAGGAACAATGGAGGTTAAGAGTAGGAAAATTTATTGGGGAATAGGAATGGGGAATAGAGAAAGCTTCTGAGAGACAGGAGGGGTCTGGAATGGGTTGCCAGGGAGCCCACTTTGCTGAGGAAGTTTTATAGAGCAAAGTCATGAGAGGTGGGTACAATGTGTGTCAAATTATAATTAACCAATACAAGTACAGGCACTTAGCTAATATTGATCCAATAGTATTATTGTAGGCTGCTAAGTTGATTAGAAATATTGCAGGCAGGCAGGCAGGCAGGCTCCTCAAAGGTGATACAGAGGCAACTGTGGCTGGAGGCACATTCACTGAAGGCCAGGTTTCCAGAAAAAGAGAAAAGAGTGCCTCCATTGTACCTCCCTTAGGGATGTACAGCAGCGATTGATATTCTAAATAGGCATCAGTCACCTTGGGAGGGGACCAAAACCTCCCTAGTCCTTTCCTTCCCTGGAAATCCTTGTTCTCTCCATTAAAGTTTGCTGTGTGACTTGCTTCCCCCATTGAATGAATTTGAACCCCATTTAATGAATATTACCTAAGTAACTCTACTTGTTGTACTCCTATTGGTTGACCATAGCTTTGTCCCGCCTTATACCCACCTTGTGATTTCCCATTGGATCAACATTACCTAAGGGACTACTTTTAATCTTATTAGTTGACTGTAGTTTTGTCTTACCTTGAACCTGCCTTACCTGGCTTTGCTCAATAAAACAGCCTTGAGAGTCTGGGTTGGTGGACAACCCACTTTTCGGGTCCCCTTCTGTCTCTCTTAGAAGCTACCTTAGTAAATTCTTCCTACTCTTAACCTCCATTGTTCCTAGAATTCAATTTTTGATTTTAGAAAACACAAACTTGGCATTTCGGATATCTTAGCAGTTTGGGAGTTACAATATTTCCCTTATATTATTTGGAAGTCCATATATCTTATGCCCTGTATCAGTAGCAAAGGCAGATGGATGACATCAGTAACCTTGGTCGATAATCTGTAGTCTTAGGGGTTTTTTTTAGCTACTGGGGATTGAACTCAGGTCCTTGCACTTGTGCAGCAGGCACCAAAACCACCGAGCTAAATCCCCGTCCCTGTAGTCTTAGTTTTCTTTAGTTTTAGTAATCTTAGTCTTAGTGGATGGAGATGACTCACCCCTAATGAGATGATGGTTTTTGATGTGTCCTCATCTTCTGCGCTGACTTCCACATGGGCCTACCCCTGTCTGACTGCCTATTTCTGCCTAACTTTGTTTATAACGTTGACGGTATCAAAATTACTTTGTTTCTCTTCTCCATAATATAGTCCACACTAGCCTAGAACTCACTGTGTCACATAGGCTGACCTCAGAACTCAGGATCCTCCTGTCTTATCCTCCTGAGGTCTGGAATTAGGTGTGCACCACCACGCCAGACCTCACTCACTGTCTTATCATCATGGTGTAATGTTGACAGTATCAGTACTACTTTTTTTCACCATGTAAGAAGCAAATGTTATGACTTTCTCAAATCCAAAGATAGTGCTATACATTTCTTTATTATGAATTTGCAACATTTTTTCCAGGAATCTCCACTTTGCACTTGGGAATAGTTCCTGTGCTGGTCTCCTGGTGGATTTTCGTGTTTGTTTTTTTTTTACCAGTGTAACATCAGTGGGTAACTCATGAACCAATTGTCCAGTGTGACATTTGGGTTACTTTTTGAAATAGATGCAGCAAGTCTGTTCACAAGGTCAGACAGTTTATTACTGCACAATAAAGACCTGGTGGCTAAGTTCCAGGATAAATTTCTAAATTCAATAAAATGTCTTCGCATCTACCAGGGCATATATTGTTATACTGTATTTAAGAGGTTTATTTGGCATATAATGTCAAAAGGTTCAACTATGAAATGATGCAGGTTGTCACTTGTCATGTATTTAGACAGTGTTTTAAATTGCTTGACAGTTCTAAAGCTTTTAAAAAATGAGCAAATAGCAGCCAAATTGTTGGATTTTTCTTTTTTTCCTTTCTTGACAGGTCTTTTTGTTATCATAGTTTAGGCAATTTTGAAAGAAACCAAATCTCTTGAGTGTCATTATTCTAAAAACTCAACTCCACATCTGTCACTTTTCCTTAAATCTTTTAGATTCTGATTAGCACCATTAGAATGATACAGTCTTGCTATGAAAGCTTTTAGTTCAGATAGTGAGATGTCATGATAAATATATTTTTGAGTTACTATTGATGCATATGGAATGTTTTGCTTGTATTTCATTATTACTGTATCTCAAGACATCTTGTACCCTATGGTCCATTACAATTTCTAACATTGGAGTGTTGGCATTCCTTCCAGTAGGTTTTCCCCTGGCAAGAACCTAATAATGTTTTCTGACCTAGTTATCATGGTAGATCATTTGGGTATTCATGACCATTTTGTAGCATTTTGACTAGTCAAATATTTATTTACATTACTGTTTTCTCATAGAATCAAGGTCTTCATTCTGTACTTCTGTGTCATATCTTGCTAACTTCTTTGGCTCACATGATCCAAGTCATGATTGGTAGCTGAGTCACTTGATGACTCACTGTCAACCTCCTCCCAAAGTTGTAAAAGTGGGTTTTCATGCAACATTGCACTGAATTGGGCTAATTAATTCTACAAGAAAATCAAAAGAAAAAATATAATGAAAAATTATAAATAAAAAGGTATCTACGCACATACTGGGGTAAAATTCACCCATTTACCCTTTGACACATGTGCACACTCCTTGCCATTCGTCGTACCAAGTGGTGAACACAAAGATGGCTTCCTCTGTTCCCCCAGCACAGCTACTGAGATGCCCAGCCGGCTTCTGTCATGCTAAAGTACATATTTTCTTTAGGAAAATATGGTTGGGGTGTTTTTTACCCACCGTAATGCCCTTTGGGGAGTAACTGATTATAGTATTATTTGATGTCATTTTCATAATATTTTGGTTGGGCTTTGTCAAACTTGAATCTGTGAACTCAAAAGTTTTCATTAAATTTAGGGAAATTTTGACAATTACCTCCTCAGAAGGATTCATTTCTTTTGTCCTTAGATTAAGCTGATGATTGATTAATGTTTTTTATTTTGGATCATTTCTGTTGTCATGCCTTCAGATTCATTAATGTATTCTGCTGACTCAGTATTATGGGGTTGAGTTTTTCATCTATTAAAGTTGGAGATGGTTCTTTTAGTTTATTTTCTCTATCTCTCCTTGACATACTCTAGTTTTCCTCTAAACATGTGAAGTGGGTTAGTATTACAAGTACTTGTTTGTGAATGAACTATTACCTGAGTCATTTCCAGGTTGGTTTGAGCTCAGTACTTCTCTCTAAGCCTTGTATGCTCTTGCTTTTTCTCATGCCTACTAATGTTTCATTAAATGTCAGCTATAAATTTTACTTTGGTGAGGGGTGGATATACTTACATATTTAAGACATATTCTTAGTTCTTGTTCTTGGACATAAGTGAGTTACTTGATGAGAATTTGATATTTTTGATGCTTGTTTTTAGGTTTTTAAAAGTAAAACGGGTAGAGCTTCATTCAGTCTTACAGCTCCTTTCCCGCAGTGCTGTTTTGGCACTGTTCCATGGGTTATAGTAGCTTGCTGTTCTGGGTGGTGGAATTCCCACATACCAGCTACCTAGGCCCCTTGAGTAATTTGTTCAAACGCGTGGGCTAAGTGCTTGGGTAGCATTTGCTGTTCAAGTAGCTTTGTCCTCTCCGATATTCTGCCTGAGAAACCCGAATTGCTTCATTTCCTGAGTCCCAAATCTGTGGCTTCCAGTCAGGTGGTCTGCTGGGCTATGCCTGTACTAAAGAGGAGCCCCTCGAAGAGCTCCTTTGCCTGTCAGAAATACTACTGTTTCATTTATTTTTCTCAGTTGTTAAAGCAGGAGGTAAGTCTGGTCACTACCACTTCATCTTAGGTAATTATTCTAAGCCATTCTCCCTGTCAGTAATTTTATTTTCAGTTGTGTCTTTTTGTTCTCTGATAACTTTATTCTACATATTTTCCCTTTCTCCTTTTTTTCCTTAGCCTTGTAATCCCCCTTTCTGTTCTCTCTTTTCGTTTTTGAGGTCTTTTTCTTTTGTTAGCTTTTTGTTACTTTTCTGTAGCTTAAATAAAGCACTAGTAGGAGCTTTTTCTTACTGAGTTATTTTTATTGTAAATGTCTTCCTTTTTTGTCCTAGGGGAGCTTTTTTGACCTTTGCTAAAGTTGTTTGCATAGCTGTTGTGACATTTATTTCCGTCTTACTGGAGTTTAATGTAAAGTGCCTCTGTTCTAACTTTATCTGTGCCATAGTGTGTCTGTCTTTCACAGTTCCGCCTTTGTGACATTGGAGGCTCTGTAGATCCACAGCTGTAGCTGTGATTGGAATACCCTTGCTCCTCCAGCTTCCTGAAGTCTAGCAGTGTGGGAAAGTTCAGCTCTTAGGAAAATGTGCAGCCTTTGCCTTTCTGAGATAACTCACTGTTAGATCCCTGTCCCAGTGTTCACCTCTCCTAGACGGGAGCACACCCCGTTCCCTAGTTTAGAGCCAGAGGATGCCAGCCTGTTTTTCACTTACCTTTTGTAACTGACTGAAGTTGTCATTTTCATTGTTTCCACCACAGCTAAAGTCAGCAGAGGAAAAAGCTTATCAGTTCACTATTTTTCCCTCTCTAGGAATTGGAAATGCCTGGGATTTTGTGTACTTTTACTGTTATGATATCTGGGGGCTAAGAGGCAAGGCTGGAGATGAGCTCAACAGTTGTGCTATCATAACTTTTCCAGTTCTTAGCTAAACTTTGGTTGTCGCTGGTTATTACTCTCCCTTTGTTGTGTGGTGTAGTTTTATTCATTCTGTTCACTATAGAGGACAGGTGTTTTTCTGTTTGACTTTTCAGTATCTTACCCATCAGTTACTAAGTAGATAGTTTATATGAAACCGTATATTGTGTCCTTGGTAATTATTTTGGCTTTTTGCCTTCCTTTTCTGAGCAAGTAGAGTGTAAATTGTCATGCGTCATCCTCCACTGCGCTGACGGGAGCCCTGTCCTTCCAGATCCCGTGCCTCTGTGGCAGCGCTCCCTGCCTGCTGTGCCGATGCTGCCCCAGTGGGAACAACTCCACAGTGACCAGGCTGATCTACGCACTCTTCCTGCTTGTCGGGGTGTGTGTGGCTTGTGTCATGCTGATACCAGGAATGGAAGAGCAGCTGAATAAGGTTAGTCTTTTTTTTGGATTCATTGATTACCTGACACGAGAATATACAGAAGGCTTTGTAAACTTAGGAAGGACACAGGCTGTTAGGTAGCTTGGTAGGTACTGTGATGGTGGTACAGAAAGTCAGCTGTGGTGATAGGAGGAAAGAAACAGGTGACAGAATCTCAGTGTCATGGAAAGAGGGACTTCTTCTCCCTAAAGAAAGGACATTCTGAAAATGCGTAGAACTTTTATACATAATTGAAAATTAGGAAACATAATGATTACAGGTTTTTGAGCAGAGTATCTGTGCTTTAGGAAGACTGATCTGGTAGTTAAGGAAGGATAGGACTCAAATGACTATGGAGGCTGTTGGAGTGATGAAAACAAGGAGAGTATAGAATGCCTGAATTAGATTTTATAGGTGTAGAATTAACTGTTTGGCTGGCATTTAAATATGAGTGGTATCATATAGTAACAACCAGAATCTGACCCTAGAAAACTGGAAGGACAGTGTTGCTGTTAACCAAGAAAGAGAAAAGTTTTTTTAAAAATTTTTTTTCAGTGAGTTAGGTTGTGAAAAGAGACAGGGAAATGTATAATAATTTCAGTTTCTGATAGTGAGTTGGATACTGTATTGCATACAAGTATATATATATGTCTTAGTTCAGGCCGATGTGACAAGAATACCATAGACTTTGTAGCTTAAACAATAGAAATTTTTCTCATGGTTCTGAGGGCTGGAAGTCTAAGGTCAGGATGCCAGCATGGTTGAGTTCCAGTGAAGGTCTTCTGTTTTGCAGATGGACGTCTTGTTGTATTCTCACCTACTAGAGAAGAGCAAGAAAGCTCTCGACTGTCTTTCCTGATTAAGGGCACTGTTCATGAGGGCACAGTCCTCATGATCTAATTACCTGCTCAGAGGGCCCATTTCATAATCCCATTCCAGGAGAGTTAGGGTTTCAACACAGGAATTTTTGATGCAGGTACACATGTAGTCCATGTATAACTCAGGAGAAATCGGACCTAGATCCTGACTTGGGGTTGGAGCTTTCCCTTGCTGGGACAAAATCCCTGACATACACAACGTAAAGGAGAAAAGGCTTACTTTGGCTCGGGATTTCCACTGGCTTCGAGGCAGACACATCATGGTGGAGGAAAGGTGCTCTCTCCACCCATGGCAGCCAGAAGCAGGGAGCAGGAGGAGAGCTGTGGAGGAGCGGGCAGGGGCGCCCCCCACCAAGCCTGACACCCAGAGGTGTTCTTACTGATCCTGTGGGTATCTCCTCTCGAACCAGTTATGTTGGCAGCTGGGTTGAACCACCACAGGGATAGAGATGAAAGGTGAAGCCATGGTGTCGCATGCTGAAGAGAGCCATTCCTAGTGAGCAGTGCTGGGACTTTGCCAAAAGCTCCTTAAGGGAGTTGGTAGTAAAGGGCACCTCCGCGGGAGCAGTGAGACAACCAGAAGCATTTGCAGGCTTCAGGAAGAATTGCTGGGGTGACAAGACAGTGTCTGGGGGGAAGATTAAGGAAGGTGATGACAAAGAAGTCATCTTTGCACTGACAGCTAGTACACAGCTAGCATACTGAAAAGGTCGATGTTCTCAGCGTGCAGGGCTGGGAGTGGGAAGAAAGAATTCATGCTCATGCATAGGAATAGTATGTGTGGTTCTGAACAGTTCATTTAAAAATTCCTTTTCTCACACTGATTACAAGGTGGCTTTATTTTTTTCATTTGTGAAGTTCTGAAGATCAAACCCCAAGCCTCATACATATTAGGCAAGCTCTCACTCCTGGACCCCAGCCCCAGCCTCTTTGTTTGACTTCTGAAAAGGTCATTTGTCTTTTTCAAGATTCTGAATTAAAATGTAGAACTACTGTTTCACTTATTGTTAAGTCAGATCCATTTGTGATCATCACGAGAGACCACAGCTCAAAATGAATTGAAGTTGCATTGCCTTCGAAAAGCAAACTACTGATCTCTGGTTCCCTGGAAACATGCCAGGTACTCTGCTCTTTAAGCCCGTGTGGAGTTTTTTCTCGTGTATGCAACTTGCTTTTCTAGATCCCTGGATTCTGTGAGAATGAGAAAGGTGTTGTTCCCTGCAGTATCCTGGTCGGCTACAAAGCTGTGTATCGCCTGAGCTTTGGCTTGGCCATGTTCTACCTTCTCCTCTCTCTGCTCATGATCAAGGTGAAGAGCAGCAGCGACCCTAGAGCTGCCGTGCACAATGGGTGAGTATGAGTGAGCGAGTAAACCGTTCGGTCTGCGTGGCCTCTTAGCAGTTCTGAATCCAGTGAAGAAACTTTTAAGGAAAGTAAACAGCATTTTCAGAATTTTGCCTGTTTATGAATAAGGTAATAAGATTCTCCTGTTTCAGCGAGAGAACGTCAAACTTCCGACGGCAGATGGTAGCTTTGGTCATTAATTGGACAATCAGTCTGATTTGCAGTGTCTAATTATTTGCCTCTTACCAATGGCTCTGTACCCCCGTGGCTGTGGCGAGACGAGAGGAGCTCTTCCTCTTCTCGGGTGGCTGGACTGGCCCAATAGAACCTGAGTTTCCTGGACCTGAAATGTAGCCGTGATGGAAAGCTCACTCCTGAGCAGTGTGTGGGGTTTCCAGCGCTCGTTCTGGAAGCGTCAGTGTGCAGCTGTCCGTCTCCCTTAATATAAAGCACCACATACGGCACTTGGAATGTTTGGGGTTTTATCTTTTTATTTTTTCCCCCCCAAACTAAATTTTTAAAAAATACCTGTTCTTGCTTTTCTGGTAGCGTGTGCTACACCAAAGATAGGAGGAAAAACAAATGGGATATTAATATGAATAATGAAAAATGGTTATGTGGGAGATTTATTTTCAGTCTTTTAGTCTTTGGTTTTAAATTCTCTTTGGGATGGTGGCATGTATCATGTATTTAGTAAAACTATTCATTGTTCAGTGCATGTTACACCTCTACTTAATAGGTAAAATAAAACTAAAATCAAACCAGTATGCATTAGTGACAAAAACAACTTTCTTAAAACTCTCTTAGAAGTGGTCTATAGGATAGTCTTCTGATTTTGAGGGGACCCTAAGAAAGAACAGTTACTTAAAATGTAGCTATTCTTCAAGGTGCTCTTAAAAATTTTTATGTATAATATTATTTGTTGGATGAATGTTTATTAATAAAAATTGCATTTGTTTTAGATTTTGGTTCTTTAAATTTGCTGCAGCACTTGCAATTATTATTGGGGCATTCTTCATTCCAGAAGGAACATTTACAACAGGTAAGAAATTTTTATGTTTAATTGTGTGATACTGATGTTTTATAAAGGAAACTGATCATTACCTGGAACTGGAACTTTATTTTTGTTTTGTTTTGCTTTTTCTTTTGTCTCCCATTACAAACCAAGGCATTTATATCAAATGTTATTTTTCCCTTGTGCTTACTGAAAAGTGTGTGTGTGAAAAGTGAGTAACAGGGCCAGGGATACAGCTCAGTGGAGCTGCGCCTGCCTGGCAAGCGCAAGGTCCTGAGCTCGACTCCCAGTACCAGAAAAGAAAAGAGAGTAATAAAAATGACGGGTCCATGTCGTGTCCGCCCTCCCTTCCAGTGTGGTTCTACGTGGGCATGGCCGGGGCCTTCTGCTTCATCCTCATCCAGCTGGTCCTGCTGATTGACTTCGCGCATTCATGGAATGAGTCGTGGGTGGAGAAGATGGAGGGGGGGAACTCGAGGTGCTGGTATGCAGGTGAGCCCTGGCTGCAGAGAGCAGCCCCGTGTCCCGTCCCGGGGAGGGCGGTACGGGAGCCACGTAGGGCTGTCGTGGTCTGATTTCCTGCCAGGAAGTTTTCCATTGGTCAATGGCACCGTATCTGTCTTACTGTGTCTGCAAATTGTTAAAGATCTTTTGACAAACTGATTGGAAACCAGGAAAGAGTAAAAAAACTAGAGTGGCTAAAGAGAGTGTTTGAAGGCCTGTTTCTGAAAGCTTGTGCATTTTATAGCATAATTTTAGGGAAACTAGGGAAGAAGACTGCTAGAAATAAATATATAACGGTACAATTAATGCAGACAGAGGAGGTGCAGGATAAATATTTGGGAACATTTGATGTCATTAAGTGATTCCTTTGTGTGCCTCAGTAACACCTCACAGAACCCCTGTGGTAGTGTCATTAATGTTAGTTTCTGCTAATGAACGTATGTCCTGTGTTATACTCAGAAGCACAGATCAAAATTCAGATCCTGTCAGGGCCAAATAGGTAACAGAAGTGAGGGAAGAGGCCCAGGGGATTTAGCTCAGTGGGACTGCACCTGCCTTGCAAGGGCATGGTCCCAAGTCGGATCCCCAGTACCAAAAAAAAAAAAAAGAAGTAGTAGTGAGGGAAGGGACTGAAGTTCTAGTGATCTCAGTCAGTTCTGGTACAGATGGGGACGGTGCCAATCGGAGAGTGTGTACTTATTACTCAGGGAGACTAACTCACTGTGTTTTCCTTCAGAAGAAGCTATGAATTTGCATTTTCATGTAAAGCAATCTGGATTTCAGCTGACAACAAAATAACTGAAACGAAGTATAAGCCACATCTCTTGACTCTTCAGCCTGACATTTTTCTCAAAACTAGTTTGTGATGATTGGTTTCAGTGGTTAGAGTAAAACCAGCTTGATGCTCTCAGAAATAAGCTTTAGGGGCCGGGGATTTAGCTCAGTGGTTTCGCCGCCTGCTGCGCTAGCGCAAGGACCCGAGTTTGATCCCTGGTACAAAAAAAAGAAATAAGCTTTAGTCGTTTCCAAACTTTACTTACATATCCTCATATAAGAACTTCATTTTTAATTTGTAATAAAAGTTTACAACTTGATTTTTTTCAAAAAAGTCAACAAACTGCAAGCACCTGTTAATAAAGGTCTTAAATAATTGTCAAAAGGAAAAGTCTTGATATAAGGCTTGCTGTCTGTTTCATTCTCTGCTGTATCCCCAGGCTTGGAGTGTCATAGGCATTCGATAAATAGTTGGAGAAGCCTGTCAGTGAGGCAGACATACAGAAATACTTCACACCACACACATAGCAGCACAGGGCTCCACATGTTATGCGTGTTGAAGTTTATGTAGAAGAATCTCAGCTTGTCCTAGTAAATAACAAACTTCCCCTGGCGTAATATGTATTTTTGTAAGATTTCATTTGGTGAGGAAAAACATTGTTTTGTGGACTTGTTTCTTAACACCTTTCCTTACTTACAGTTGAATGGTTATGGTTCTTTAAAAACCTCAAGTGATGCCTAATATTACAAGAATGTGATTTGTAAACTCTAAGATAAATGTTCCTACTAATAAAAGTCATGTAGCATGTCACTACCTTAATGCCTTGAAATTATGTTGTAGTGAGCTCTGTGTAACGTACCATAGAATTCTTCAGTGAAAAAATTCAGAATTAACTTTCCCCTGCTTTTGTAGCCTGTGTAATGCTGTTAGTTACTTAAATTATATTTTTGGATAAAATGACAGGTTGTTTTTAAAACAAGTTACATGCCTAATATCTAGTATTTGTGATAAAATCTAATTGTTTTTTTCACAGCCTTGTTATCAGCCACAGCTCTGAATTACCTGCTGTCTTTAGTTGCCATCGTCCTGTTCTTTGTCTACTACACTCATCCGGCCAGTTGCCCAGAAAATAAGGCGTTCATCAGTGTCAACATGCTCCTCTGCATCGGTGCTTCTGTGATGTCTATACTGCCCAGAATCCAGGTACACTGTGCATAGCTTGCTCGGTTTTCATAAATCTTGAATGATGTCAGACTACTTACTGTTGCTTAATATTTTGCTTACAGGAGTCACAACCAAGATCTGGTTTGTTACAGTCTTCAGTAATTACAGTCTACACGATGTATCTGACATGGTCTGCAATGACCAATGAGCCAGGTAGGTTTCAAGTCCTCGGTGTTTCGTTTTATCCAGAGGTAGTCATTTGGGGGGATTAAGCTACCTAAAAGGCTTCTGTGTTTTTTCACTTAGTTTCTTACTTATTGAACAAAAATTATAAGGAGGTTATTAAAAATCATCTGAAAATTATAAGAGATATACCTGAATACACTTTTCAGTGTCGGTAACTTTCATACATAGGAAGAAATAACATCTCTTAAAATTATTTTGATTCTAGTATACTGTGATTTTTCCATTAAATTACTCTTTTTGTCTAACTACTTTGTAATTAATTGCATTATAGGTTAGTTGTTTTGGATTCCATGGGAATAGAAGCCAGTACAGTGTATGTTATTTGAAGAAAGAGAAGTTAGTATTTTTAAGGGAAAACAGTGTTCTCTTATTAGTAATTTGCTTTAGAGATTAGCCTTATCTAATTTTTCTTAGTAAAGTGGAAATTGACAGATCTGGCTTTGTAGGAAGAATACACATGACATTTTTGGGAATACTTTACCAGTCCTTTAATTCTTGCAAAAGAGCAAAGAGATCGAGTAAGTATTAATAGTTGTTAGGCCTTCATGGTCATTTCCACAAAGCATTTGCTATTGGTTTTGTGTGTACGCTTTCTGTTTATAACACTGCACTTTGACAAACTAATAAACTTCATGACATCTGTATTATGTCACAATGTAGGGTACAAAAGCCAGTGCATTATGACTTACAACATCTTAATTTTATTTCTGACTCTTCTAAAATTTTCCTATGTTCTTGCATAAGGTTGAAAATTTAGTGATTTAGTTTTTCTCCACATTTCTATGTTAGCATTATAAAAAAGATCTCCTTATTAATAGATAAAAATTATTCTTAAGTGTTTTGTTTTTATACTTTTGCCTTTTCCAGAAAAAACTTTTGAATTTCCAGCAGTATGAGTTACAGAGAATGCTGTGCCTTAAAAAATGGCATTTTTTGTTACTCTTATATTGTAATTTGGCTTTCAACTTATTTTACAGAAACGAATTGCAACCCAAGTCTTCTGAGCATAATTGGCTTCAACACCACGAGCACCAGCCCAAAGGAAGGGCAGTCTGTCCAGTGGTGGCACGCACAAGGGATCATAGGACTCATCCTCTTTCTGTTGTGCGTCTTTTATTCAAGGTACGGTAACCTGCGAACAGAAAGTGTTCCACGGGAGGGAGCCCAGCTGTCGACTCGGGCATAATTTCTTTTCAATATATTTCTGTTTCTGATCCCTGTCACGCAGCATCCGCACCTCGAACAACAGTCAGGTTAACAAGCTGACTCTGACAAGCGATGAGTCAACGCTGATAGAAGATGGGGGAGCCAGGAGCGATGGGTCCCTAGAGGACAGCGACAGTGCTCACCGGGCTGTGGACAATGAGCGGGATGGCGTCACCTACAGCTACTCCTTCTTCCACTTCATGCTCTTCCTGGCGTCACTGTACATCATGATGACGCTGACCAACTGGTACAGGTGCTTGTGCTGTGTGGCGCTCTGGGCAGGGGGGCTCTGGGGCTTCTCGTGATTGTCCTAAGATGCGGTGCGGTGCTTCCCAGCCTGAGGGCTGCACTGCTCCCAGCTCAGCTGAGTGAACTGTGAAGCTAGGGGAGAAGTGGAGACTTCTTGCCTTACCAAAAACACTATCATGGGGACAGGTAAGCTTAAGAGATAAATGGAAAACCATAAAACCAAGATTTCTTTACAGAAATGCATGTTGATAGTTGCTCTTACAGATGTACTTTTTTCTGGGAATATGAAAGCAATTTATAGTTCTTTTTTAAAACTGATTTTATCTAAAGATTATAAAACAATTCTGTTTAAGACTCGAATTGTACAGTTTAGGCAGTGTGATTTTAAATAATTTTAAATGTGTGATGCTCTTGAATGGTATGTGAAATTACTTTCATTACCAGCAAGAGAAAAATTATTCTTTGCTGAATTTTTTTGAGAGCAGCCTTGACTATTACTGAAAACAACATAGTGTTTAAAATTCCTACACTATCTCATATTAAGCTATAAGAATCCAGATAGTTCTCAGTAATTCAGAGCTTTGGCTGTCAGATAATAATGGTGGTGAAAGGTAAGATGGGATCAAAAAGATTTAACACAGAAATCTGCCAGGTTTCCTCGGCACTGTTGGTCCTGAGGAGCCGAGGGAGTGGTAATTGGGTTGGGTTCTCAGGCACGCTGTGAACAGTACCCCTTGCTCGTTCCCAGGGCACACTCCGTCTCTCTCGGTAGTGGACAGAAAATGCAGAGGCCTGGGTCCTTCACTCTGGTAGAGGGAGGGAGTCGCTGGTGTTTACCTTCACCCATTACCAGATCTGTGGGAGGTAGGCAGCAGGTTACATGCTGAGCAGGGTATTGCGTGACAGTGACAGACTGGCTTGCACTGACTGCCCTCTCCCCGCGGCCCTTCGTGTCTTCCCGTGCACCTCAGGTACGAGCCTTCGCGGGAGATGAAGAGCCAGTGGACAGCCGTGTGGGTGAAAATCTCCTCCAGCTGGATCGGCCTCGTGCTGTACGTGTGGACCCTGGTGGCGCCGCTCGTTCTCACAAATCGTGACTTTGACTGACGGGGCTTCAGTTGTACTTTGGTCATTGCTCATTGGAAATTAGCAGTATTCCCAAGTTTTGTAAACTTGTATGTATGCGCTTCCCGTGTAACTTCTCCAGTGTCGTTCTGGCATGAATTAGATTTTACTGCCTGCCATTGTATTCGTTGTTTTCTTGCCAGGTGCATTAATTGTGTGCAGTCTGAGCCCGCGGAGAGCGTGATTGTGGTGGTGGGTCAGAAGGGACACGGGCGGGCGTGGCCTCTGCTCCGTACACGTGACGTTAGAAGTAAATTCACAGTGAAAACATCTGCCTGGTAGTTTGATTTTAAATCTGTTAGACTATGAACTGTTAGCATTTTTAAAAGTAAATGTACAGCTGCCTTTTGAAATATCTGATGTATTGCCTTATGGAAGACTGCACGGAAATTAACATGGTTTTGCTGAAATTACATGAACAGGTCACATAAGTAATTGTCTGGGAAATGCAAGTTACTCACATTTTCTCAGGACTTCCCTTAGTGTCAAGGTAGGGTGCTCACATAGGTAGAGTGCTCAGTGGCCAGCATGTGGGGGGTGAAGTTTGGGTGCAGAGCCTTCTAAGACAGGCAGATTGTTGAGTGGGTATGAGACTGACTGTCCAGCAAGATTGTGGCCTGCCTTGGGTAGACCCAGTGACTCACCAGCCAAACAAACATGCTAACCCACGCCGCGAGTGTAGGTGTAGTGGAGATATCAGGACTTCTGAAGGATTCAGACCAGGTTTTTAAAAGGATAATCATAGGTTAAAAAAGAGGTTGTTAAAACTTACTCTGCAAGTTAGCTTTGAAAGTCAAAAAGTGGTAAAATTTTGACAGGGAGGGACAAAACTAAAACACTAGGCTTCCGTAGGTGCTTAAATAAAATTTAGTGCAGTTCTTTCATTTACAAATGAAGAAACTAAAGCACAGGCTTAAGTGGCTAATTAGTGGCAAAGCTAGGAAATTCTTAAGTCTACCAGAACTAGCATTAATCTCTGACATTAAGAAATAATTTCTACTCTAAATAACATGCAGTTAGGAGTGGATACTTCATGTGACATGTCTTGCTGCTGTCCAGCCTGCCTTCTGGCTGTGTGCTGAGGTTGGGAGAGTGCTGGCCTGGTGTGGAACACCCTGCTTAGGAGTACTTACTACACAGGTCAACAGGTGTTTAAATGCTTTTGTATTTACTGCCATGTAATTGAAATACATACGTGATCATAATCTTTCAACCTAGAAATCAAGCAGTATAAAAGTTAATTTAGATATAGAAACTTAGTTATTTGTATGTGTAATTAGTGCCTGATGAAGCCTTTAAAAATTTACATTTGCTTCTTTAAACATATTTATTACTATGTGGAATACAACAGTTCACTTTAATTCCCCAACCTTACTCTGTGTATTATGTTTCACAATTTTGAATGGTTGTGTTCTCTTAATAAATGAATTCAGAAAAGTGCATAGCGTGTTGATTCTTCACCAATTCAGATTTACTTGGCTGTAATACTCCTTTTTCCCTTTGCGAAAGGGTACCTGGCTCTGGAGAGTAACTGGATTTTTTGCCTCTGATGACTGAACTGTCTTCAGAGCACCTCGGGTTGTCTACGTGCATCCTAAACTTGGATCTGTGTTCTCACCTGAGGAGCCTTCAGCCCGGTGTGGAGAATGGAAGGCCTTCCCACAAGGCCTCATATCCTTGTTCCCACCATCTCCCGGGTGGGCCACCATGAAGAGTAACCCTTTCGCCCATGGAGCTTTAGGGAACATTAAACATCCAAACTCTGGACATGGTGGTCAGCACAGTGGGAGGTGAGGCAGCGGGATGGCATGTTCAGGCCAGCCACGTCAGTAGCAGTTTGGGGGGACCCTGTCTCCAGATAAAAGGACAGGATGTAGCTCTGCACAAAGGCCCTGGTGTCAGTCTCCAGCACTGGAAATCAAGCCATCTCAGTTAGCAAGCATCAGTACATTTTAGTCGGCTAATGCTGTTCCGGAATCGCGGAAAGAAACAAGTTGGGTAAAAAAACAAAGGGCTTTCCTCGCAAGCAGGCAGGACCACCAGAAACTGGTCTGGTCGTAGTTCCCACTGCGTTCTTTGTCCATCACCTTTTTTACTTCTGTCAGTCATCTCATCCCTAGTGGTCTTTGTTAAGTAAGTAAAGTTCCAGTTCCTGTTTAACGGTTAGACAGGTGGTTTCTGTCACTGATTACAGTCCTAAACACACGACAGTTAAGGCACATACATCACTGTTCAAGGATTCCCACTTTGTTCTTCAGAGCTAGGATGTTATCTATAGCGGAGCTACAGATCAAAGGAGCTATAGAAACTTCACTTTAAACAGCAAAGGCAACAGGCTAAGGCAAGCTTTTAAAGGTATACACTACCTATTTTGCTACCACAACTACTTAAATAGCTAATCTTTAATAGCTAACCTTACTGTAAAACTTTTCCCTATCAATACTTGTGTAATGGTCTGAGTGTCTCCAGAATTAAAAGAAAAATGGCTGTAAAATTCAGGTCATTATTTTCCAGATAAATAAAATTATACATTCACACAAACCTGCTAAATGTTCATAACAGCTTTATTTAGAATAGGCAAAAGAAGTAACCCATATGCCCTTTAGTGGGCAAATGATTGAGTGTACTGTGGTGCATGTACACCATGGAGCACTGCTTACAGCCAGTTCATCCCAAAGGGTCGCATGCAGTGTAACTCAATTTAGGTAATACTGTAAAAAGGAAAGGAGAACAGATTAGAGGTTGCTTGGGATCAGGAATCCTCAAGGGTCGGCATGTTAGTTTTTCCTCCCTTCCACCCTAAGACATTCTGAGCAGTTTAAGGCTTACAGCCAGGAGACATGTTTCCGTATATTTTGTCCCCTCCTTATCCCTTCCATCAGTTAATGAGCCCATGTTGATGAATTGTTAGCATTCACGAGTCCTGTATCCATTAGAAGTCACTTTCAGTGTTGTACATACCTTGGCTTTGAACACCTGTGACATTTGTCCACTGTAATACACAGAACTGTTTCCCTCCCTTTTGCTCTGCCTGTTCATCCCTCCCTCCCGCCAGCCCTCGGCCACCACAGATCTTTGTACTTTCTCCTTTTACCTCTTGAAGAGTGGCAGTGGGTGGCCTTTTCAGAATGGCTTCTTTGGTAATAAACGTTGACGTTTCCTGTCTTTTCATGGCTTCATAGTTGGTTTCATTTTAGTGCTGAGTAGTACTATACTGTCTGGATGGAGTTTGTCCTGTCAGTTGTAAGCTGCTGTAAACATGCATGTGCAGGTTTGCGTGTGGGCTGTGTTCAGCTCCTTTGGGTATCACCACAGAGCACATCTGCTAGGTGGTGCAGTCAAGCATATTACTTTTATAAGAAACTGCCAGTCTTTCAAGAAGGCTGTGCCATTTCCCTTTCCCACCATCAGTGGATGAGCGAAACTTACCATATCCTCGCCATACTGTTGTCAGTGTTCCGGATTTGGGCCACTGTACTAGAAGCAGGTTGGATCTGATTGTTTTAATTTGTGTTTTTTTGGTGACACGATGTAGATATTTTTTCATGTGTTTGCCATGTGTATATCTAGTGAAGTGTCTGTGAAGGTCTTAACACCCATTTGAAATTGGATCACTTTGTTATTGGAGTATTGAAGATTTTCTGTATATTTTGGGTAACATTCTTTGACAGATACTTTTTGTTTACAGATACTTCCTTCCAATGTTTGCCTTCATTCTCTAGACTGTCTAGCTTACCAGTTTTCATAGATCATGTGCTATATTTTAGTAAGTCATTACCATATTCAAGGTCATACAGATTTTGTTATCCCCCAGTTGTTTTAGTTTCCCTGTAACATTTAGGTCTGTGACCCATCTTGAGTTAATTTTCTGAACCATGTAAAGTCTGCTAGATTCATGTTTTTTATGCTGATTCTGTTGCTCTAGCACCATTTGCTGAAAGGCTATCTTTGCTCCTTGTATTGTCTTTGTTGTCAGAGATTGGTTGACCCAGTGTATGTGGGTCAGTTCCTGGGCTGTTACACTATTTTTTTTCCCAGTTAACACAGTCTTGATTATTGTAGCTTTATAGTGAATCACAGATGGGTAGTGTAAGTCCTCAGTAGTGTTGGTTTTCTTTTTCAGAATTATGTTGGCTATTCTGGTTTATCTCCTTCATATAAACTTCAGAATCAGTTTATCAGTGTCCACAAAGTATTCCTGGGATCTGATTGGGATTGTGTTCAGTCTACAGATCAAACTGAAAAGGACTCATGTCTTGCCACTTTGAGTCTTGTTTACCTGGTCATGGACTCTTCTTCATTCATTAAGCTCTTAATCGGCTTTGTAGGTTTCTTCATGTACATGTTATGCATGTTTCATTAGACTCATACCTGGTTTTATTTGGGGCGTGCTAATATAAATGATACTGGTTTAAGTTTCAAACCCCAGTTGTTCACTGCCATTAGGGAAGAAATTTGCTTTTGGATATTAACCATGTATTCTGTTACCTTGCTCTAATTTCATGAGTTCCAGAAGTATTTTATTGGTTTTGTATTATCTACACAGATGGTATTATTTGCTAATAAAAGACTTTATTTCTTCCTTCCAATCAGTATTCTACTTCCTTTTCTTACCTTATTGCATTAGCTATGACTTCCATTATGTTGGAAAAGAATAGTGCAAGAGGACCTCTTTAAGCTTTTTCTCGATCTTGGTGGAAAAGCTAATTTCTCATCAATAAGAGTTTAGCTGTAGGGTTTTTGTTGTTTTTTGTAATATCAATGTTAAGCTGAGAAAGCTCCCCTCCCTTCGTCCTTACCAATTTTTAAAAAAATCATAGATTTTAGATTTTGCAGACCTTTTCCTATATCTGTTGATATGATCATAGATTCTATTGTTCTTTAGACTACTAATATACTTTCAAATGCTGAACTAGCCTTACATACCTGGAACAAATCTGTCTTGGTGTATAGTTTTTATATATTGGATTCAATTTAATATTTTGATAATTCTACATCTATGTTCATGAGGTAGTGGTCTGTAGTTGTCATGTGGTACTTCTGTCTGGTCCTGGTATTGGGGTGATGCTGACTTCATTGAATTAGGAAGTATGGTCTGCTTCTACCATCAAAGAGACTATAGAGAATTGGCATAGCTTCTTCCTTAAATGTCTGCTAGAATTCATATGTGAAGTCACATGGGAACTGGTGTTGTTTCAAATTCATTATTGGTTGGTTCAATTTTTAAAATAAGATCATCTGGGTGAACACATTTGTGAGCATCTATCTACTTGCTCATGATGTGCCTTTGATTCCTATTATGTCCATGGGGTCTGAAGCCATGCCCCTCGTTCATCTCTGGCATTAGCAATTTGTGTCTATTTTTCTTAGTTATATAAAGGCTTCTCAGTTTTTTCAAAGATTAGTATTCAGTTTCATTGATTTCTGCTATTTTTTTTCTTTTGCTTTTGTATTTAATTTCCTTCTTTCCTAGGTGCCAAGGGTGGAAGCTTAGAATTATTTGGACCTTTCTTTTCTCAGATGTGCACTCGATGCTATAGACTTCTAAATTTATTTCATTTACTTAAAAATACTTTTAACATTTTCTAGGTATTTTGACTCAGGTGATTGAGAAATGTATTGCTTAATCATGTCTTTTTGAGCTTTTTCCCAACATGCTAACAACCAGTCAGAAGAAAGGAATATTGGTATCAATTTCTGACAGCAGAGTAGGACAAGGATTGTCATCAGATACACGACAGAGGGTCCATTCTTCAGAAAGACGTAACCACCCTAGTATGTATGGACCTATCACTACATAAGGCAAAAACTTAATAGAACTGCAGGGAGAAATAGATGAATCCAGTATTCTAGCTGGAGACTTCATTCCTCTACAGAAATGGAGAGATCCAGCAGACAGAATCAGTAAGGATGCTGAACTCAACACCACCATGGGTTCACTAGATCTGACATATACCTAAAGACAACTTTATCTGATGATAGAATATGTGTTCAAGATCGCATGGAAGAACATTCACGTGCTACACATCTTTTCTCCTGTTATGTGAGAACTTATTCTGCTATATATATTTTTTGGTACCAGGGACTGAACTCAGGACCTTGCGCTTGCAAGGCAGGCAGCAGAACCACAAGCTAAATAAATCCCCAGCCCCTCTCTTGTTATATTTTTTAGAACTTATATAGTCATCCCACTGCAAAGGTGGAAAAAATCTAGCTCTACCCTAAAGAAGGTATGTTCATACTAATGACCATCTGTGTATTTTACATACCTAGAAAGCTCACTGTTTTAGCTTGGGAGGAGTATGACATGAGTATCAGTGTGCAACTCACAATGTAACTCCAATGTAGCTTACAATGTACAATGTATAACTTAGGATGATTCTGTGGGGGAAAATGAATAAATTATGATATAGATCATCAGTATTTTGATTCCTTTAGATGCAACTGTATTTTAAAATAGCACTTTTGCAGTATCTAGAGTGCTTCAGAGCTCCAAAATGCCACCAAAGAAAATGAACCCGATTATGTTCTATAATGAGAAGGGGAAGAAGACAAAAGCTACCTTACATTTTCTCTTAGCGCAGCCAGCCTCAGGACCGTGACCTCTTCAGCTCACGCTGAAAATGACCCAGCCCAGGGTCCCGAGGCACAGTCAGTCACCCAGATCCAGCCCCAGTGTTCTTCCTCTGCCAAGATTTAAACAGCGGGCCTGTGTGGGGCCTTAGTTTTTGTTTTGTGGTGCTGGGGCTGGAACCTAGGGCCGTGTACAGACCAGGTCTTCGAGTCTCAACATCATAGAAGGAAAGCCTTGAGAGAGACCCAAGATGCCCAATAAAAAGGCCTCACTGGCTTCTCCGACAGCTCTACATGGCCTTCCAGCATTAACTGGGCTGCTTCCAGTCCACTGCCTGGAAGCGGAAGTGTCAAGTGATGGCACCCTGGCTTTAAATCTCTCCAGTCCCTGTGATCAGCTGCTCCAGAGCTAGGAGCTAACCTAATCACTGTTCGTTACCTTTGATGGGGCAAACCCTGTAGGCCTTCCACAGCATGCGGCGATGCAGCTCCAATTCACAACAGTGAGAGGCATAGTTCTCAGGTCTTTATTATAAACACAGCAAGCCAGTACATTCTTTAAACAAAGCACAACTTTAAAATACATGAAATTTAGACACATTATATTCTTCCACTGCTGCATTATACAGCCTGTTTTTTGAATGAGCCATAGAGACCTTGGTGTGACTCACATTGAGACAATAATGAACAGACAGGTTAAAGCCACTTTCTTCCTAAGGGAAGGAAAAACTAGTTTGTGTGATATCACCTCCAAAGAAGACATGTAACAAATGCTAGTACTCAACAGTCATTATATTTATTTTACTAAATAGTATGGTTCCAAAAAACACCAACCAGAAACTTTCACTTAAAACTAGTCCCCTTCCGTAGCTGGCTGACTCCGACCTGTCCCCATGCTCCATCTGCGCTGGGACCTGCAGCCAGTGAGCTCTGTGTAGACTGCCTTTCCTGTGGACCTCAGACTGACTTCTCTGAACACAGATTAACTTCTCTGGATCGACACAAATCAAAACTTTACAAGATACAGGCACTTTATGTTCCCAGTTTTAAAAATAAGCCAAAGGGAAATATTTAATGACGGTTACTGCAACAGAAAGCTTGAAGAGTTCTATTAGTTTAGTGACGTACACTCGAACACAGACAGCATGGAACAAGTAAAACAAACAAGTTTAACTGGGTTAATGGTCACATTTGTAAAAAAGAAACCAAATTACAACTGGAGAAAAACTGGTATTTGAACAACTGAAAAATATGCCAGTGATGTGCATTAACATGCACCTGGGCAGCTGAGCAACATCTGAGAGCTCTGCAAGGATGTGCGGAGAGAAAAGCTAAAGGTGCTTTTATTCCACAGTATCTGATCAGAACAAAACAAAGCAATTTACAAAGCAAAGTACCAAATGATACTTCAAAATAAATAGTTCATCACTTTGATGAATATGTACATGCCGAGCCCGCGTTCCGGGGACTAACTATCTAAAAGTGGCATATCGCTATCCAGCGGGGCGGGGGCCAGTTCGCATAAATAGAACAGGGTAGCTTCACTGGCTTCCGCCTCAGTCAAGGGCTCCAGGCGCACAAGCTTACTCTGGGTCGGTTCTGGGTCCAGGCTGCTCTCCAGGAGCTCATCCACTTCTATGGGCTTCTCTGCAGAGGACCCAGCGTCTGCCGGTGCCACGGTGCTGCCCTGCCCCACGGCAGACGCGGGGTTCCCATCCAGGAAGGCGAGCAGGGGGAACGCGGTGTACTGGATGAGCTGCTTGTCTGTAAAGACAGCGCACACTGTGGCGGCTGGGCAGGGCCACAGGCTCCCCCCAGTCAGCCAGGACATTACCGGAGGTGCAAGGCAGAGGCGCCAGTTCTTTCAGACCACACAAGTTAAACGGGAGAAAAAAGACTGACCAACTTACTCAATTTCCCCTCCCTGACGGAACCCTGAGAGGTGAAGCTAGGACACTCTGCGATCGACTCTTACGTACCACAAATCCTGGGTGTGCATCAGTGTCTACACAGGAGTCCTCAAAACAAAACCTACCAAAATCTGTAGTACCTCTATATCTACCTGGTTTGGACTTCAGTTTTCTTCCTTCTTCAGAAACTGGTTGAACAACATTATTCTTGGTAGCGTCCGGTCCTTTATTCTCAGACTAGAAGAAAAAGAAAGAAAACCAATTTAAAAATACTTTTTCATATATTATTTGGCCCAGAAAAGTACTGGAAAATTAAAATTGACACAATATGTAAATACTGATACGCTATCTGAAATATGCGGAAAAGGGAAACATTACGAAAAATGGTCAGAGAGATCTGAGTACAGTACAAAGACTAGTTAAGAAATCTGTCATCACAGGGATTAAGAAAAGAACCCATACTAGGAGGACAGGAGTTAGAAAGGGGTGGGGGGTATGGACACAGACAAAATTTGTCAAGGGTAAAACATGGGAAAGAATCAAAGACAAATGGTTTCAAATGCTGAGAGATAATTAGCTCTTTAAACAACTGAAGTCACTTTAAACAGCTCGGATTAAGCATGTGTCACACGTTTCTCTTCACTCAGACATGTGGAGTAGCTGCTCAGCATGACATGGTGACATCCTTAAAACCAGCCCTGCACTCAGAAGCCTGGAGGTTGGTTGACATGATGTTTCTTCTTGGGTCCTTTCAACCACTGTCTTCTCTCCTTAATCTGACTGTGATAAGGAAATTAAATCTTTAAGATCCTCAGTAATCTTTTCAACGATCTTCAAATTCTGAGGTGCTGAGGTTCACAGCTTTTTCTGAATAACTGTAAGTCCTAGATTTCTGCAAGCTGGGTAAGGATATACAGTGAAACAAAATCTGCAAAATACGTCCTAAAATTCCCTTGATATTTATTATAAAATGAAGTCGTACAAACTCCCAGGAAAGAAGCCCCAAGATAAACAGAAATGACTAAATCTTCCCAAAAATTTACATTAAAATATTTCATCACTTAGCATTAACAGTAAATACATAAGCATTAATAATACAAGAATCCATTTATACACTCCCTAGAATAGGTACTTCCTAAGAATAGCACTGTCATTTTCTAAAATGTAAAAACCAGCATGACATGGCAGATGGGTTTCATTTCCCACGAAAATTCTTATCACAGTGGCCACTTGGCCAGCCATACTGAGAAACACCCCTTAGGGAAATGTTTCCATCCCAGCATCCTCGTCATGCACAATGCAATGAGATATATGATCCAATTACTTGAAAACAATCTAAATTCAGAACTATAATAAAAGTCATTCTCCATTTGCTACCTATTTCTGAACACTGTATTCAAACTATTGATTTTTTTTAATAAGGAAGACAATCCAAGAACAGAACTCAATGTCTAGCAATAAACAATAAGCACATTCACTAATGTAACATGTGCTAAAAGTCCATTCAATTTAAGGTGTATGACATAGCAGCAATCAAATATGATATGTACTGCAACACAACAGCTGAACTCATCAACAGAGTCTTACACTATAAACGTACGCAAATGGTGGTCTGCATGCCAAATTCAGCATGCTCCCTGTTTATAAAAAAGTTTGATGAAGACATAGCCAAATTATTTATGTAGTTTTTATTTTTTAGCAGGGAGTGGTACTGGTGATTAGACCCTGGGGTTCTCAATGAACGAGCTGCATCTCCAGCCCTTTTTATTTTGAGACAGGGTCTCACTGGGTCCCTGAGCTGCCCAGGGTCAGCTCTAACTTTGACTGTCCTGCTTCAGCCTCCCCAGAGTGCTGGGATTAAGGCCGTGTGTTACCACATCCGGTACAGTCTTTCCTGAACTGTCTTGTCTGTGGCTGCTTTTGCATTACAACTGAGGTAGTGAGTGGTCCGGACAAAGAGCATAGAGCCTGCAAACCCAGAAATATTTACTGCCTGTCCCTTCAGAGAAAAGCATGCCAATCTCTGATATACTGAGTGCATAACCATTTCCTGATGCTGATTCTTCAGGCTCTAGCTTAGCTGTTACTGTGAAAATGTAGAAAATCTAGTCAGGCTACCTCCTCACACGTAACAGCAAAAATTTAACCCCATCACCGTAATTATTTGTATCTATTTGAAATATGCTCATTCTTAGATTATAGAAAACAAGAATCAAAATAAAATCCTGACTTCATATTCTGAAATTCAGACTTGATTTATCTTTGAGGTCCATAGGAGAAGGGAGTACACAGCTAGTCAGGACAGCATCTGCTCTGACAACTTCCCACTCCTTAAAAACCAGTTAAGAATCCCTTATCAACACCTGTTAAGCCTGTCTATATGGTTAATAAAATGATGGAAGCCTTCTAAGTTAAAAGTCTAAAATCTATACTTCACTTTTTCAATTTGCCAATTAGTACAAATTCCTGTTTTTAACGTGTGCTAATACAATGATGGAACTTAAAGAATGTAAGTATCAATACATTTTCAATTAAAAAAAGCTAAAAGGTTTCGAGGACAAATAAGAATGTGTGAAATGCAGCATATAAAACATGAAGAAATCATATTTTAATCACTGATTTCAATGGAATCTCTGAAGAGGGAAAGATTCGGTGACTTCGGATTTCATATCTAATTCATCTCACGTGTGTAGCAGAAGTGGGCAATGATCCACCCCATAACCAAGGTTATTTTCTCACTTCGAATTTTACTGTCTTGATCATGCATATTAGGTAAGAATATGAAATGCTTTTGTAACTGGGAGGACATTACTCTCTACTTACTAGGACTTTTTCAGACTTTTATGGCTATGGCTCCTGACAGCAACATGAATTAAAACTTACTTTTGTATTATTGATGTAATCTGTGGGATTCATCTGCACAGAACTAGTGAAAAGCTGAAAGACCAAACAAGAAAGATGATAAGTTTAAAAAATATTTTTAAAGAACTGTGTTCAAACTTTATACAACTACGTTGAGTGCAGAGCTCTAACTCCTGTACTAGAACTTTCCACACAGGCAAACGGGTTTAGAAGAGAAACTTGGGAAAGAAAAAGAACAGAAACAAAAGCAGAGCTAGCCAGACCTTGAGACAGAATCTCCCATTTCCCTCTCAAATCGGGGGACAAACCATTTGAGGTGAACCATGGTTTTCCCAAATTCTTTTGCATTTTACTCCACTCAGTGTCATGACCTTTAGTTTTTCCTCTCCCTAAATGCCTTCGCTTTCAGTGGTCCCGAGGCCCGAGTCTCCAAGTGCCTCTCTATTAGGTGACCTTTACAGAATCCGCTCTGTGACTGGCACCTTCACTCCACGCCAAGCCAGCCCACAGACAGCAAGACAAACCCACTTGGCTGACTGTAACCTCACCGACCACGGGAGTCCGAGGGTTAGGACCACTGCTCAGGGCACTGCAATCTGTCTGAAGGAAACTTTCACTTCAGTCACACCATGGGGATTTCCTCATCATCTAAGAAGTAACTGCATCACGATGAAAACACTATTCCTGCTCTCCAGGGCAGCTTACAGTCTGACAGACAAAGTAAGGCCAAGGCCAAAGAGCCAATGTACCCTCAGATATAATCCAGCAGGACAACAGAGGAGGGTGGGACTCCAAATACCAGGGATTCAGAGAACCAGAAGGAAGGAGAGAACCAGAAAGGACCTGTCAGCCATGCTGTACCACGTCTCGGTCCCTGGAGAACGGATAGGACGGGGGAGACAATGAAGCATCAGCAACCACAAAGGATGCACGGCGTGTTTGAGAGACGGGTGAGGCCCGCCCAATGACGCGGGCATCCTTGGCTGACCAGCGGTTACATACGTGGGCTGTGGGCTCCACACAGCACGGCCAGCTGCCGAGGCTGCATCCTCCCTACCAGCATGGGGACCCTGGGCAGGACCCGAGGAGACAGACTCAGGGCGAGCGAAAGGGGCAGAGGACACAGGTACATTCTTCTTCCCTCCTCGCTCGACCTCGGTTCCTCTCCTCAAAGTTCCGTAAAGCACACAGCAGGCTTAGAAACACGCCTGGGGCTTGCTCCTTCCTTCCTTCCTTCCTTCCTTCCTTCTTTCCTTCCCTCCTTCCTTTTCATCTCACCTACTGACCCGGAGTGGACACAGAGCTCAGACCCTGGAGAGCTGACCGCGCACTGATCACTCATCTCTGCGTCCCCCGCTTGTCAGGACCTCAGAGGCCTGACCAGATCCTGGCCCTGAAGGGGACACCTGAGAAGGCCAGCATGGCGTCCTTTCCGGCCTTCCTCACCGATACAGGGCATCTCTCAGGTGTGCCCAGCAGGCGCAGGTGCAAAATTAAAAGCTCCAAGGCAGCTGAGGGCCAGACAGGGCTGCTGGAATCGGAGTCACCCAGCACGGAGCCCTGCAGAGGGCCACACATCGCCAGTGCTTATCCCGTCTCTGCCGACTGAGTCTTTCACTTAGGAAAATGCAGCATGATTCAAGGGTAAAATAACAAGGACCCTGGATGAGAGAAGCAACAGTGAGGTCCAAAGGTGGCGTGGCCTGAAGGGATTTCACACCTACGCAGGACTTAGGGAGTGCTGAGATGGAGGCAAGCGAGGCAATCCGGGATAACTCTCCTGGGTAGGCAGACAGGAGTCTGGTGCCATCACGGAAAGCTGGAAAGCTGTAAGGGAGCTAGTTCAGGGAATAAACAGTTTGGCACCGAACAGAATGCGAGGCAAGATCTAACTGCGACCCCAAGGCATGGGCTCAGAAGCAGGCCAAGTGTATTCTGAACAACGTGACGACCTGGGGATGAGCACATCAGAGCAATCCTACGAGCCACAATCTCTTCCCAGAGGGGGAGCAGAAAAGAGAGGCAGAAAAATCAAGAGGGTAAAATCTTGGCTGCCTGGGGAATAATCACAAACAGAAGCCAGTGGGACAAAGAAAAGCTCCTCGGAAGAAACAATAGTTAGGGAGACAGGAAGTAAACAAAGAGATCCACACCTCTAAAATTAAAAAATATTCCCAAGGCTATACTACAGTTAATGCTAGTACTGATCATTATTAATTCTTTTAACAGCCCTTCCTGTTAGGCATCAGCCTTCATAAGTGGAGAGACTGAGAATGGTTAACTTTTCCAAGGACAATAACCTATCTAAGCAACAAGCCAATAACAAACCCAGACCTGATTGATTTCAAAACGAACCTTCTCTGCTCTTCTACTACACTGGTTCGGTAGACTGGTTAAACAAAACAAAAAAGGAAGGGAGGGTAACACTCAGCCTACTTATTACGAGAAAACCAAGTTAACTTAGGCAGCACAGGGTTACACAGACGCAAGACAAGGTTTCAGAAAGGACCGAGTAAAAACGATGTAAAAAATACAGCCACTCATCTCAGAGTTTTGTAGCGATAGAATTAAGAGAAGCAGAAAAGTAAACAAGAGTCAAAATTCTTGTTTTTCAGATGGGGAAGATCTGTACCTATTGAGGACAGATGAAAAGACAGGAGATCGGGAAAAAACAGGCCAGAGGACAAGGATACAAACTGGCTTCGGGAGGAAGTGCTTCCTCTAGAAGACAGGAAATGAGACTGAGAGCAGGCACACAGCCTCAGGAACAAGGCCCGGTGGTCTCTCCTCTGTGTCGGGCGCTGAGGACAAACCAGGACGGGAAACATTCTAAGGCTGAGTGAGGTGATCCTGCTGAAGGCTACAAGGACCTGTCAGCGGCCAGAATGAGCAGCTTCTTTCACTCTTGGCCACCTAGGGAACGGCTGTTGAGAGGCCCTGGACTCTGAATGGAGACACAGCTCATAAGCTCAAGAAGGGCCAGCAAGGACGAGCATGAAGCAGGGCAGCACGGGGACGCTCGAGTCACTCAGACCGTGACCCTGGTTGGCACAGGGAGCCAAGCTTCAGAGGAAGTGATGTTCATCCCGTGTGGTGCTGCCAACCGGAGGCGGCTGATAATCCATGCCACACTGCAGAGGCTGACGGGAAACAGGTGGACGCTGCTAAGCTACTGAACTGGAGAGAAAACTGACAGGCAAGAGAGAACGAATTCCTCCCACCTCACTAAGCTCAGAGAAGGGTCTTCTGAAACTTGACAGAAGCTGTACTAAAGGCTGGAAGCCCAGAAAAAAAGAGCAAAAAGCTTCTCAGAAGAGAGAGAAACAACTGTTCACAAAAGAAAATGGAAACCGAAGAGAAGAAGCTTCACCTGAGTGGGAGAAGACCACACGGAAGGCTGTGGGAGGTGGAGGAGCTGGACAAGGGAGAGGAGAGTGGGAGACAGCGGCGGTCAGCGCCAGCAGAGGCAGCAAGGTTCGCAGCCACACCACACCCGGCCAGGCGCAGAGACGGGATGACAAAGGCCCAGGGTATAAAACCACAGCAAATATCATAAATGCGTTCTAATTCCTAAGTATGAAGAAGGATCACCATGCTGAGTCCTGGCTAGGTACTTCCACTACTTCCACAGAAGAGAGATTCAAGACAATTTATTCCAGAGTCCAGCATAACACAGCACCAGTCCAGACAAGGGCTAGTCCAACAGTGCTGAAGAGAACAGAGGTGCTTTCACGGGATTAACTGAGTTCCCCTCATGGGTGAGCAGCAATCACACTCCGCAAAAATCCCAATCACAACTGTTCATCCTTTGTGCCCGAACATTCACAAACAAAAAGGAAAAAATAAAAACCAGATGCACTGGTCTCTGAATAACCACCTAAACAGACACATGAGCACCACGGTGGAAATTACCCAAGTACCTACATCAACCAGGAGGTCTGGGTCGATGCTGAACTGCCTTCCCGACAGCATGGCTTGGAAGTCCTCCAGGCTGCAGTCGATACTGTCCAGGTAGTCCAACAGCTCGACCCTGAGGAAAAGGGGCACGGTCAAAAGGGCAGCATCAGAGCTCCTCAATCTGACACCTGACTCACCACTGCAACCTGATGATGAAACGCTCTAAGCAACGCCTGGGTCCTTACTAGTGAGTGCTTAATCTTAGGAGGTCCCAGTCATGCCTCAGGACCCTGAGAACTCGTAGCCTTCACACAAGGCTTCAATATGTAGAGAAAATAAGGTTCCACCACATTAACAGTCTGATTTACCATTTGCTTATTACTAGTCATTACACTGATCCAGTCACGGTATAAAGACATATAATTACAAACACAGATACTCAAAGCAAGCATTCCACTATAGAAATATAAGGAACTTGCCCAGAAAATTTCAAACTCCTCTTGGAACAATTAAATCTGTCGTTACAGAGCTCACCCTGCCCCGCAGAGGCAGCCCGGCGGGGCCATGAAAGCAAGCTCGCCCCAGCAGTTACACAGCTGAGAAGAGGATGGAGAAGCAGGGTGGTGAACACTCACTTTCCCAGAAGGTTGATGTTGTCATTCAGGATGGAGTCCATCATGGTCACGGGGTCTTCCGTGGCCAGACTGGAGGACCCGTTTAGCTGGACAGCACTGGACGTAAGCGGACTGCTGCTGTCGCTGCCTGAACTCGGGGATTCCTGGGCCGATGCCGTCTGCTCGCCGCTCTGAATGACAGGTGCATACTCGTCCTCATTGTCATCCTCAACAATGACAATGTCAGGGTACTGGCTGCAGCTGGATCAGCGGTAAGAGAAGAACCATCACATCTGCAGAGTAACTCAATGCATCGCACCACTCCACGGACTCTCCATGGAAATGCTCCCCAAACCGCAAGGGTTCAGCTTCTCGGGTGCGGAGCTTAACCACGCTCACTGACAGCTCACTGGTACAAGACCACAGAGAATTGACTTTTAAAACTTCAAAATAAAAATCAATCCTTACTATTTCCTTGCTGAGGTGTGGGGGATTTTATCTGCCCAAAGGTCATCAAAGAAAAAAATAGTTTCTTAACATTTAAATATTTTCACAAGTTTTATTTCACAAACTCCTTACTTGGAGGGATCAGATATAACATCCTCATTCGTTTCGGGAATAACTGGGATATTTTCTTCATCTGCATTATCATCAGTAACATCATAAATGATGATGTCATCTGAAATCCGCTCCCTTTGCTTTAAACCTTCACTCCTACTGTGCGGAGCCTAAAATATGAGGGAGAAAAATATACTGAAACCTAAAATATGAGGTTGAAATTATACTGACTACCAAACTGGGCATCATTTAAAAAACAAAACACACGTACCCCTATTTCTCAAATGCTGGAAAGACAACAGTAAGGAAAGCAGCTTTGTCTTCTGCCCTTCCGGGACATACACTAACCAGTACGAGCAATACTAGTTCACAGAGGTCTGAGCTACCTCACCTGCTCTACTTAATCACTACTTTTACTTTAAAAGTAGCTCATGATAAGCCCAAGAATATTTGCATGGGAAGTTCTTCAAATTCTAATACAGTATTTAGACCTAAAAAATAAAAGTCCGGGGACTTCCGAATTTGAAGCAAAATCACATGGCCACTATGTTGATAGGGATTATTTCATCTCAAGCAGCTTTCTTCGACAACTTATTATTAAATGGTTTTACTAAAAGAAAGATAGCACGTCAGCTATTTCACACTTTAATGTTAGCCTGGCATTTTTACCTACAGGTACATTTTAAGCTACAGATAACATTCTGGACATAGTTCTATTAATTTTTTTAAAAGTTTAGTTCTCAAAAGCAGGCTAAGATCAGTATCAGAATACAAAAATCTATAAATTTCAACACTAGATAACAGAGATGCAAGAGCACTTTATAGGAATACAGTTAAAAATACTTGAATCCCACGAAGAAAATAGTTAAGTTCACTTATTTAGAAACAACAGTTGGAAGAGGAATCAGATCTGAAGTTAATTCTGCTTGGGGAGTCCTGATCAGTAATAAATCTGAAGTAATATTTCTAATTCTAAGACTTGAAAGTAATGAGGCAAGCTCAATAGCAGAATACCCAGCATGGGGATTTAACCCTAGCACCTCAAAATAAAATAATAATAACAACAACAACAACAACAACACAATGGTTATAAGAGGTCTGGACTCTGGACTAATCTGACAGTAAACTAATCTACAATTGGATATAAATTTGACAAATTATCCACAGAGCCTGTGACAAAAATTAAGGTAAATAAAACTAAAACTATTTTGAAACTGCCAGAGGAAAAGTAGTACTGATACACATGTATAATAGGAGTTGTAAACAGTGACCAACAGAAAAATGCATAATCTTATTACATTATCATAATTACACTGCCATGATGTTCAATTTATACAGCACTTGAACTACATTTGTTTTATAAATCTCGAAAGTAACAGGAACTAAAAAAAGACATACTGGTCACATGTACAAAATGACAGCATTTTTATGAAGTTTAGACATAGGCAAAATAATACAAAATATTGCCCCTAGATGTACTCATATAAAACAGCCATGGGAAGGGGAAATACTAACTCAAGAGAGAAAGAGGGAAAGACACATGCCTGGAAATAGGCAACTGGGACAACTATATTTGCAATGATTTTTTTCTTAAAATAATCTAAAGCAAATAATGGAAACTGTCATGGCCTCACAGAAGTAGGGGCTGAGCCTTGCATTATTACTCACTGAACTCTGGCTGCATAACATAATGCCAGAATAAAATTTAGTCCAGTAAGATAAATACAAAAATGTATTAAAAAATTACCTTGTGGTGGTGATTATCAGCTGGTTCTTTGACTATGTGTTGAAACAGATTCTTCTTTTGGGCTCCATTAGTGTTTAGAAGTAGAGGCCTGGAAATCAGAAGAATGTTCATGTCATTCCACATTTTCATATCAAATAAAAGACTTCAGTGGGGAGGGACACGGCTCAGTGGTAGAACACTTGCCTCTCATGTGCGAGGTCCTGGATCAGATCCCCATCTCCACAAAATCAATCAACAACAAAAACTAGGAGCCCTTTAACCTGCCATGTCTCAGGAACATAAAGGCGGAAGTGAGAATTACCTAGGACTCTCAGCTCTATCCTTCCCTATTATTTCTTATGGTAAATATAATAAATTACTCTCCAGATAAACTTCACTGCCTGCTGAATCAAACAGGTCTTTCAGATTGTTCTTACATGGTTAAAAAAGGAGGAATACCCTAAGAACTAGTTAGTTAAAGTGAGGTAAAGCCACAGAGCTGCAATCGTGATTAACCCTAATACCCCCTTTCCCCTTCCAACTGTTCCTTTTGTCTGTCACTCTTCTGGGTCAGCCTGACAACGGCCTCTACTGACATTCATAGCTACCATAACCTACGGTTAAGATAGTTTTTAAAAACTATTTGTGGGATAAAGGTCAGAGAGAAAATAAAATCTGACCTTTTTCCAACAAATGGCCTCTTCTGTGGAATTTCTCTCCCGTGGGCCACCTAACACTACTTCAAACTGCTAATGTAAATGAAGAGTAGATTCTTTATTAACCGTGTATCTGTCTATAAAGTGACATTTAAGCTATTCTTACCTCTCAGAAATGAGAAGAATGACAGCAAAGAAGGAAGTACAGGTTAAGCATCCCTAGTCCAAGAATATAAAATCCAAAATGCTTCAAAATCAGACACTTTTCGAGCACCATAAGAAACTTTATGGTACATAAGTGAAAAATACTATAATCATAAACTTTATGATACCATAAGTGAAAATCTTTTTGAGCACCATAAGAAACTTTGTGATACCGAAAGTGAAAAATCCCATGCCTGACCTCTTGTGATGGGCCAGTCAGGTTCAGGCATATGACAGTTTGTCAGACCCTCCAGCCCTTTCAGGTGTTTGATATGTGTAGTTTCATGCACAAAATATTAAAAATATTGTATGACATTATCTTCTGGCTATGTGAGTTAAGGTTCTGTATGAAACATGTAATTTCTCATTCAACTTAAGAGCCCATCCCGAAGATTCCTTATAGATGCAAAGATCCCCAAATCCAAAGATATCTGAGATCCCAAAACACTTCTGATCCCAAAAATGTTGGCTAAGGAATACTCAACTTGCAAGATCACTCTTGGGTTGCAAATATAATTTAACAAGCAGTGACTATTCGGTTGGTATATCAGGAATATACACAGAATTGCAGGCTATTTGTGGCTAAATACTAAAATGTCTACGTATAAGTCAAAATGTTTTATCATAAAAACTTACCTTTTACGTTTTAAACTCACAAGTTGGTTATTCTGAACCAATGTAACAATAAACTGGACAATCTGAAAGGAAGAAACAAATAAAAATTCTCCCACCGCAGACTAATTCTTTACATTTACAAGTCCTATAAAATAAGTCTGATGACTTATGTCCTCTATTCTAAGTCACAGAATTTCTCACATGATAGTATTTGAAATCTGAATACATCTTATAATGAGATACAAAGAGATGTATTAGCTTCCAGCTCTTTGTTTTGATGATAGTACCAAACTTGACTAGATCCCAACTTTTAATTTAAAATATTTTCAAGATTACATTAAAATGGAAAATAGAAAGCTGGTGTTTGATAGGCAACATTTTTCTCACACTAAGTAATACAATTACAGCCAAAAGGAATGGCAACTTCTCTGAAAATAGATGATAAAACTTTAAGCTAGAAAATGTTTACTGGCTGATGCTATGAAGATTCCTGCTGAGACACATCTGTCAAAAGCTTCTTCTTTACAACCAAGAGACAATGACTTAATCTTGACCATCTGATTAAATTTGGAGGGAAACAGATCTGGACCTGTGAATAAGCCTTTTATATTTTATAGCAGTGTTTCTTAGGGTGCGGCCCGCAGTGAGGAACACTGGCCTAGGGACTTGTTACACCCTAAGTTCTCAGACACTGCTGAACGTCATTAGGGTGGAGGGCCCAGGAACCTGGCTTAGCAAGCCCCTCAGGTGACACTCACACAGGAGAACGCTGGTTAGGGTGCAGCTAAGGTGATACTACACGTCCTCCCTACCTAATGTGCTAAAAACATTAGGACCATAACGTAAACTATGAAGAGCAGGCAGCAATGAGTAAACGCTGAAAGTGAGCTGAGGATTACTGAGACATTGTGAAAGACTGACTTGTAATAACCATGTAATTACATGATTTAAAGAGCATTATCAGTGTGGCCGCCTGCCTCGTCAGCGCAAGGTCCTAAGTTCGATCCCCAGTAACAACAAAAAAAAAGAGGATTATCAATTAAGAACACCTATTGTTTAGCAAATTCCTCTCCAAAAGAGACTTAATAAACTGTCTGCTCTACAGTCAGTATCAAATATTCAATGGACAAAAATCCAGATATTTTAACTGAAGAGTCAAGGCAGCACCAGAGTCTAAAAAAGCCACTAAATTGTTAATTCAAAAGAAAATGCTGACAGCTAATGATCAGGCAACATTAAAGCTTAAAGTATCTATGGAGAAGTTCAACATCAATCTTTTAAAATTTTAAGTACTGTAGGACAACTGTGAAAACATTAGTGGTTAGATTTATGAGAACATGAATCACTGGGTAAATTTATTCTCCATCTCAGCTCTCTCTGGACACACTGGTATCACACTGTGTAAGATTTTCTTCTCTGAGGAAAAGATTTAACAGCATACAGCTTCTGTATCTGAAGAGTTCTATAACTGGTTCCTAACACGGATCACTCGATGAATCCAAGGCCAAACTTCACATTTCGGCAGCCAGGAACTAATTCTGCAGCCAGAGTAAAAACTACTGGTTGTCAACAAGCATTATGTAATTCTACTTACCAAAACAAACAGATCAAATTCAGATTTGACTAGACATAAATGTTGATGAGAACTTGACATGCAACACAACTGTTTTACCAACTACCTCTGCTTTTAGGAAAAATGTCTACATATTGTGGAATACTGTAAATTAAAACATTTTCCGAAACACTAACAGATTTCCTCTATGAAGTACAGAATAAAACAACTGTAACATTTAAGATCAGGTATTTTTTGGGGGGAGGAGAATAATCAGATATTCTTAATAGGGTTAAGCATTAAAGCCACCTGTAGAAGCTTTTAAAATATATGCACTTTGTGTACCAACTCCACACAAGGGATGGACTAGTAAGAGGAAGTGTCTAAAAATCCATGCATTCACGTAAACAGAACTGATTCTACATCCAGACCTCATCTGCATACTGACTCTGAGAAAGTACAGGGCTGCATCTGGTGCTCCTCCCTGCTCTCCACCCGCCCACCCACCTGCCACAGCTCCAGGTCCCCAACTCAGAGCTCTATTTTAGTCCAGGAGCCTCCCTCTCAGCGGGAACAAGCTGAGGCCCCCACCTCCCTCCAGAGAATCTGCGGCTTACAGTCCCGTTTACTCATGAGCAAAAAATAGCTGCCCTGTGGACCTTCGTGCTTTGCCTCTTATTAACAAAGGCAGGCTGGTAGGCAAAGGCGGACTCATGGACACTGCCGGGCAGGGATTCCAATCCCCCACTCAGCCAGCGCAGACGCTCAAACGCAGGACTCGTTTCTCAACAATAACTGCTTCTGTGCATCGGCTAACAATGCGACAACTCATAAAGCATTTCTCAACTCACGATTTGGTCGAGGGACTTAAAAATTAAATATTTCTATTGCTGAAAATATAGCTAAAAACACCAGAACACAGAAAGCCTGTTCTACAAGTTTTAGTTAAGAAATTGGTAGTGTATTAAGCGCCTAAGACTCAAGTATCTCAAAAGGCCCTTTTCTACTCTAAGAGCTGGGATATTACCTAGTAGTATGGAATGACCATTGCAGCAAACTGTTTTTGTTACTGCTAAAAAGCAAACGTAACAGTTGGCCTAAGCTGTTTACAGATTTTATCATTTTAGTTCTGTGTATCCAACACAGAAAAAGCTAAGATCAATTACTGACTACCCAGTAGGTTTTTGGTCACAACCAGTACTCATTCTACAATGCAGGTATCAGTCAGGGGCAAAGAGGTTCTCACCTTTCGAATAACTTGCTGCTGTTGTGCATGCTTAGCTCTTAATTCCGACACTTCCTTCCAAAGGGACTCGTTCTCACTACAATTTATTAAAAAACAAAACAAACAAAAACTCTCATCAGAAAACCAAGCCTCAATATCTTTAAGAATACCAGGGCCGGGGATTTAGCTCAGTGGTTCCGCCGTCTGCCTTGCAAGTGCAAGGACCGGAGTTCAATCCCTGGTACCAAAAAAAAAAAAAAAAAAAAAAAGAATACCAGAGAGCTATACTTGTTTTTACTATACTATCTATTTTTGTAAGACTGGGGAACAGGTTCAATTACATAGCAATGGCAACTATCTTGGCACGATTCAGAATCACTCCATAACTGTAGTATCTGCTACCCAAGTCAAAACATATGCAAAACTTAAGATATCTACCTACACCCACAGGTCGTAGGCAATTTACTCCTTCTGACAATCTGGTTCATGACTTTATGTTTAAAAATAAGCTAAGCTTTACAGTATGGTTACCAACACAATTCTGACCTTGTGCCTCACTTTAGGAAAGAAAGGGATGTTTATTCTCATGCCTGGTATATTCTAAATCTTAAATGTTTTATGTGCTACTTAAAACCACTTATTTAAACTTCTCTATAAACTGCCAAGAGAGGAATCACTATCTTTATTGTACAGGTGGGGACCCTGGAGTGCAAAGAACTGACTGAAGAAACCTGGTATCATACAGATAATTCCCTAACCAATGAAGTCAAACTAAAGTACGTCAGACTCCAACACTATTATAAGAGCTGGCTCAAACACGAGCATATGCAAACCACTAAAATATGCTTTTTTTGTTAAAGCATATCCAGTGATATAGCAAAGCAGTAACTTGCCCAATATTAACAGTTTCTTTTCTTTCACTTATCTTTTTTGTAACTGAAAATTCAATTAAATATTAACTATTAGCAGAGCTGATAATGCTGACGTGCAAAAGATAATCCAACTATTAAAAGTTTTAATTTTCAGTATTTTGAAAACCTTCTCAAAAGCCATCATCCTTAACCTGGACTTTATAAAAGTGACAGTGGATTTACACATACAGATGGAGATTTTGATAATACTTACTAACTGCTGTGTTTTTGGACTCATATTTGACGATGAGTTACCTACTTACAGGAGATATGATCTGAAAGGATAATTTGAGAATTCATTTCCTGAAGGGCTAAACTGAGATGCAAAGAATTGGATCAAGGGGCAACTTGCAGACACAAAAGAAATAAATAGCATTTATATGAAATATGAACAATTAAGAAACATAATGCTCACTGAAAAAAGGATTCAAATTCTAAGGTTACTCTTAACGATGATATTTTAGTCATGAATAACTAATGCTCCACATTTAAAATGGGAGGAAAAAACCACCCTCAAGCCTTTGGCAACCACTGAGGGAAAATACCAGCTACTTACTAGGAAAAAATACAAGCTACTAGCACGGCAGGTTAGGCAAATGGTACCAAGTAAAGTAGTAAAACACAGTGAAGCAGCTTTCTCACGATCAAAGAGCACCACATAGTGCTCGCTGCATAGGCCCATGTGCATGAGTAGGACAACCCTCTGGTGTCTGTTCTTCCTATTTTTTGCTTCCTACTTTCTCCTTAGAGATAGGCCACACAAAGGGATTTTAAGAAACATCCATAAAAGGACGGCCAACATATAGGATTTTTAATGGGTGCCCTCATTTGTGTGAAAGCTGACCTGAGTAGAATTCTACTTCTTACACTAACTTAAAGATCTGATACTATCTCCTAGGTAAACTTACATATCCAGTTATTCTGATATACTTATTTTACATATTCTTTTGATCACCCCAATTAAAACATAATTAGGGTAAAGTCTATGGCCACTGATCAAAAAGGAACCGATACGTGCAGAAAAATGGCCCTTGATTTGGCTTCAACACAGTGACTACTTAAAATATCACACAGCCTTCAATCCCCAAAATATATTTTGTATTTGGAAATACTTTACCTTTTTAATTCTGAAAGCCTGGACTCAATAGTTTCTTGTTTTATTTGAACCTTCTGAGCACTACTTATAATTTTTGTTAAATCTTCCTGACGAATTTTATTTTCTTCAGGTTTTGAAGATGAAACCTTCCAAAAAGCAAATGTAGAAAAATCAAACATACACTGAACACCCACAATTACGACTCAGATCTTTCCTACTAGAAGGGGTTTCTGCAGCCTATTCAGGAGGTGAGCTCTGGTCCCACAAAGCCCAAGACAGAATTCTGGGCAGAGAATAAACTTCACAGCTCACGGGGCAAGGAAGCCAGGGATAATCACCCTAAAATGAGGTTCCCGCGAGCAGACATCTTAGGGCCTCTTAGTTCCCCGTCCTGCTAAACATTCCAAAATTCCTCTAGGTTTCTTGATTAACTCATTGCACATTTAATTAAACATGCACAGTATGGTAACAGCCACATGGAGACCATTCTGAGCACAAGGCAACATCACTAGCAAACGGGACCCAGCGTGTGTGGCCGCTGCAGGCGAGCGACGTGGTCTGGGCACACAGGATGTAACGGCGAACTCCAGAGAGCATCTCCAGGGAGCTGAGGTCCCAGCCAGCTGACATAGGCAGCACCCCTCGGTCAGAAGGCAGCAAGAGCAAAGACCAGCCTGGCACTGCTGAGCACAGGCAGGCGTGGGGCGGAGGGTCCGGGGGTGTGAGATAACTCCTCCCAGCAGGACACTGCCCTGTGCCCCTTCCCGAGGTCAGAGGCTGGCGGCCCTGGTCAGTTCACGTGAACAGCAGCTCACCTTCCTTTTGATGTTCTCCAGCAAGTCGTCCTGGCCTTGTTTGAAGTAAGGGTGCTGAAATTCGACAGGCCCATCTCTTTCCTGCTTTACAATTCCAGAGTCAATGTGCACCACTTTACGGAAACCATCTGGAAGAGATTCAAAATTCACAAGACCAAAGTGAGACCAAAGTGAACAATGAACGGTGCTCGTACTGAAAACGCTTCCCTCGCTCATCCTGACGAGGGGTCGCTAACGGCACCGTAAGCAAGCGGCCCATCATACTCACACATGTTCAGCTGCCTCACGAAGCTCGCCATGTTATTGTGCTTGAAGTATTTGGGAAGAATTTCTTTCGCAAATCTTTGTTCATCCAAGACCAAAAAACTCTGACCATTCTGAAGAGAAACCAGAAAAGGTCGGTTAGTTGAGGTCCTCTGATGTACAGCCAGACAAAGAGCCAGACGTTCAAACCCTGCAGTCCTGCGACAGCTTCACACCAACTCTACTCCCAATGGGGGCAATAAAACCAAACTGCAATCTGGGGCCAAATGGCAATGAAGTTTTTGATGTCGACCTCAAATGGAAAGACGCATCATATTCTGTGGTAAAAACAGAAGAAGTCCATTAAATAAGAAAAAGAGAAAGAGTACTTAGCACTCAGGAAGCTGAGGCAGGAGGGTTGCTGCCAGTTCCAGACCTGCCTGGGCTACACAGCAGGACTCTATTTCGGAAACCCACACACAAAACAAAACAAAAACGAAAAATAAACTGAAAATTTAGTATAAAAATACAGCATGGAACTGACATAAAGACAGCCACAGGGATAAACGGGGAAAAAACCTAGCCCAGAACTAAAGCCTGTCAGAGGGTTTTTAACAAGAGTGATACAATGACCATTTCATGGGGAAAAGCAGTCTTTTCAACAGATGCTGCTGAGAAAACGACAGATATTCACAAGCAAAAGAATGAAGTTGGACTGTAACTAACACCATTTATAAAGATTAACTCCAAAAGATGAAAGATCTAAACAAGGGCTAAGATAAAAATTTTAGAGGAAATCTTCATGACACTGGCTTTGTCAATGATTTCTTGGATATGACATCAAAACTACTGGCAAAGAAAGCAAAAACAGACAAACAGGACAACATCAGATTTTTAAATTTGGGGACAAAGAACATTAGCAATAGTGTGAAAAGAATGGGGTAAGAGATTTGTAAACTGCATCTGATATGTATCTCTTATATAAGAACCACAATTCAAAAGTACAAACAAAATAAAAAACTCAATTTAAAATATAAATATTTAAAATGCAAAATAAAAGATGTGGAGATGGGTGGACAGGAGGTGGGGTAGGAAGAGGAAATAAAATGATTAAGATATGATATGTGTATGTACCAAGTCTCCAAGATGAATGTAATTATCATGTATCACAAACATATACTAATTAAAAAATAGATCAAATCAAACCATAAAAAAGGCAAATTAATTTCAGTACTTTGGAAGGCTGAGGCAGGAAGACTGCAACTGAGTTTAGCCTGGGCAACTTAGTGACTTAGGGAGACCCTGTCTCAAAATTAAAAAATAAAAAGGGATGAGATATAGCTCAGTATGAAGGCCCTGGGTTAGATCCCCAGTATCATCAAGAAAAATGAAAGAAAAAAGAAAAGAACAAAAAACTCCAATAGGCATTTCTCCAAAAGTAAAATAAGTTTCCAATAAGCATATGAAAAGATACTCATTACTAATCATTAGGAAATGAAAATCAAAACCATGACAGCAGGTGACTTCACAGCCATTAGGATGGCTGGCTATCAGCAAAAAAAAAAAAGCAGAAAATAAGTGTTGACGAAATGTGGACAAACATGAGACCTTCTGAATGCTGGTAAGACATATAAAATGTGGAATACAGCTGGTGGCTCCTTAGAAACAATTAAACACAGAATTACTATATGATTCAGCAATTCCCATTCTAGATACAAAATTTTTTAAAAGCTAGAATTTGAACAGGTATTTGTATTGCAGTAGCATTATTCACAACAGCTAAAATGGGGAATCAACCTAAGTGTCCATCAACCGAAGAATAAAATGTCATCCAAAGATAAAGTGAAGGCCAGGGATTTAGCTCAGTGGTTTCACTGCCTGCCCTGCAAGCGCAAGGACCCGAGTTCGATCTCCAGTACCACAAAAAAAAAAAAAAAAAGATAAAGTGAAGTATTATTTAGCCTTAAAAAGGATGGTAATTATGGCACATGATGAAGCTAGAGATTATGCTAAGAGGTTTGGTCACAAAAGGATAAAGATGGCATGATTCTGCGTACATGAACTATCCAGAAAAGCCAATTTCATACAGGCAGAAAGGAGCAGGGACTTACAACAGGCTCAGGGTGGGAGAGTGCTGGAAGTAGTATTTAATGGTTGTGAGCGTCAATCTGGAGAGAGGAGACACACTCTGCAGACATCTGGATCTGCAGGCGGATGGTGGTGAAAACACACTTGGAGGGGATGGCTGAACTACTCGGTAACGGTGCTGGACTGGACGGCAATCAAATATACAAAACAGCAAACTGGATCCGACAACCAATTCCACACAGATTAAGACACATAACATGTGCACTTTTCAGAACAAAGAGGTAAGTTAGTAAGTTATCTTCTCGCCTTAGGGCACACAAGAGAAAACAACTTGAAACTACAACAAGAGTAAATGATGCCAATCATAGAACAATGGTAGGTATCAAAAAGAACTGTGAAACTATATAGGACTTTTAAGAAAATATCAAAATAGAGGCTATTAAGGAGATGTAGTACTGTAAAGTTAATTCCCCCTAAAATAACTAACACATTAAATTCTCTTAATTAAAAAACGGTTTTTAATGTAGAGATAGATGCTATCACAACCAATTATTAGCTACTTAAGTTTATTTGTTAAAAAAACTAAAAACCTGAATCACATCAAAGATTAACTTTAATTTTAAGATTAATTTAATTTTAGAATATATTATTGTAAATTTACAAACTACTCATCCAAGGTAAAAAGATAAGCCATAAACTAGGAAAAAGTCAACACATATATCCAAAAAAGTGATACTATACAATATAAGGAATTACCACAAATAATAAAAGAACAGAAAAGTAGATGAAACAAACATTTCACAGCACAGGAAACAAATGGGTAATAAACATACATAAAGGTTTTGTGTGTGTATGCGTGTGTGTGTGTGTGTGTGTATGCATCTATCATCGGTAACCAGGGAAACATCAAATCTCATTGAGGTAACATTTTATATTCACTAGATTAGTAAAAATGAAGAATGACTAATAATCGGTGTGAAGAGGTAGGTCAAGGGCAAATCTCATGTGTGGCTACCAGGAGGACTTAGCTGGCTGGTGGTTTTCTTTTTGGGAAGCACCAGGTGCTCTGGCGGGGAAAACAGCCACATCCGGCTCTCCAGTGATCCAGACAGCCCTGGGAGGCCCTGGTTATGCGCACCAGGGGTGCACGGACAGAAACCTTCGGAGAGGCACCTCAGGTCTCCCCTGACCACTCTCCTGACTGACTCCCTTGCCTTCCTTCTCTTCACTGTTCCTTCTTGGTCTCTTCTGCTGGCTCTTCCTTGCCTTCCTAACCTCTCCCTTCTGGAATGCTCCATCCTTCTGCTCCTTTTGTGTTCACTTGTTTGCCCAGATGACTCCATTCAGTGCCGTGTCTCTGCCCCTGGAGCTCCAAACTCCACCCTGAAGGCTAAAGCCAGACCCAGCACCAGTCCACATTTCGGCTTGGACATCCATCCTCAGGTACAGAAGTCAGTCAGGCTGTTCACGGAGACTCTTCTTCCCGGCACAGCACTCCACTTCCTCCCCCTCACCTCAAAAATTAGGTGCGGCCACAGGACAAGCCTGCTCAAACGTAAGCACAGTGAACCAACTGTCAAATACGGGTTGGAAACCCTTATCAAAATGCCTGGGACTTTTGTGTCACACGGAGGATTCAAAAAAAGTTTGGAACAGATGCACGGACTTTATTGATCTGAGCAGCCCTCATTTCAAAAACCTATAAAAAGTTTCAGATTTGGAGGATTTTGGATTTCCAAGTAGTGATGCTCCACCTGTCATACCAGTGATCCACTCCACTTTCAGATTTAAAATGAGATCAAGCAGTATTACCACCAACGTTCCTCCTAATCGTCCCCCATCTCAGCAAGTAGTTTCTCCGGGCTGCCCAGGCCAGGTCGGAGTCATTCTCAGCTCTGCTGCCCCTCCGCCATCGACAGCCAATCCTCACTGCTTCTACAGCTGGCCCAAGTCCCAGCTCCCACGCCCAACACCACACTGGAAGCTCCATCGTCTTCTCGCTGGTTCTCTCATTTCTCTCTTCCGCCACCTGGAGGCCTGCGCCCACCTCCCTGGGGACCCCTGTGCTCCCACCCCTCCCCCACAGGCCTTCTCCCTTCCGTGACAGCCAGCACTTCACGTGTGCCATCCCTGGTGCACACTGGCTCATCACTCAGGCCTGCAAAAGGCACCTCCGCACCCTGCCTGAAATATCCAAGTCCACTCAGGTTAGGCACCAATTAACGATTCACTGGTGCAAAATTTCATTTACTATGTATTCTATAAGCACGGAACAGGGCTCCTTCAATATCATCTTTCTTTTGGTAACTGCCTTGGTGTCAAGCTTTTCGGATGGAGGACCCTGGAGAGAAGGGACAGGAGGAAGGTGTTCTTCTAGGTCGGGTGCAGGACCCCCTTAGGAGGCTCCTTCTCGCAGAGAGGCACCCAGCACCCAGCACCCAGTGCTCGAGATGTCTAAGTATCAGCGGCCCGGGGAGGGCCACTTTCCCTGTCATGCTCTCCGAGCCTTGGGAGGTTCCAAAGCAGTGCCGCTACAGAACGTCTCCTCAGCTAGGAGGAGCAGGGACTGACTAAGGGCCAGTGATACCTACCTTAGGCTTGCTGATTTTAAGGCCGTGACTCTGCCTCTGAAGCAGGAAGCAGCTGGGCAGTACGGAAGCAGACGGCAGGACGAGGCTCCAGCTCATCAGCCCTGCCCCGAGCTGGGAAGGGTGCTAAGGTCAGTACAGCCCAGGGATTCCTCCACTGTCCCGCGACACAGGGCCACTCTATCTCCGAAGGCTAGGGTCTTCGCCCTGAAGGAATTAGCTCTGATGTGGACACTACCTTAGTCCTATCCACAGTGGCCGCTCCATCGACCTCCTCCTATAACCCTTGGCTTGCCTCACTCCAGTTCCCCTGACACAGTTAGCAGGTCTCCTAAAAGTTCCCTGTTAGAATTACTGTGTATGGTTTCCGACTTCTGACTGGCTCACACCTGGCACAGTCTGCGGACTCTGAGTCATTTTCTTTAAAGTACCCATCACTATCTGGAACTGTTGGCTTACGTTTCTGGCGTTCTCTGTTAAAACCTACGCCGCACGAAGACAGGCAGTGCGGGTCATTACTGAAGGCACACCTGGCACACACTACGCGAAGCGTACAGATCAGCGAGTGTTTATGACTCATTTACTACACGAATCTTTGGCCAAGCGGACTAGACTGTATTTTCAGAACTTCAACTCCGTCAAATGGAGAAGAACGCCTCGCCTGCACCCATCTTCTTCTCCTCAGGCTGCCTCTCCTCCAGGGGTGCTCCTCGCTGCGCCGTGCGCCGTCCTAGTCAGGACCGCACTGAGCGCAAACTTGCCCTCCCTGCTACAACTGTGAGGCTCCGGCAGGGCAGCGCGGCACACAGCTCCTCCCCCAGAGCGTCACACGGAGGAGGACCACCGCAGGAGAGGGCTGGGGGAGACAGCGTCCTTCTGGCGCCTTGCCCACCCACGCTGGCTGCTGCCGCCAAAGAGCGCGGCGGTCGCCGCCCAAGTCTAGCAGTCCTGCACGCCTGGAGTAGAACACTCACAGCGTTCCGAAGTGTCTCATACTTCAGCCTCAGTACTTGAAAACATTTGTCGGACAGAAATTTGCAACTTTTTCTAACAACTGGTTTATAACGTAATGTTCACCAACTATTTCCTCTAAATATTTTCTCTCTTACGTGTACAAAGGAACCCCTGCAAGAACAACCTTTTCAGCAGGCCCACCTAAGTTTCATTTTACTCTTCTTCCACATTTGTGGCCTTTCTTGTTTTCACAAATATCAAAAGAATGCAACGGGTGCCGGAATGTTCCACACAGTAACAGAGTACCTTGGGCATCAAATTCACCCAGACAGCTAGCAAATAAGGATAAATTCTGGTTGTCTCCTTCTCCCCACTTCCCGATTCATCTCTGCTGATTTGAGAGAAGAGTAGCAGAGAACAGCAAAGAGCACAAAAGGTGGAACACGCGGAGACGAGGTCACTATGGCGAGCACTCAGCCTTCTGTAGGAGTCCTGAGAACTGGGACAAAGGGAAAACACCGGCGAAACAACAACCTTCCACTTCTTCCTTTCCTTACAGTGCGTCACTCAACATACACTGATTATCGGGTTTCAACAGTAAAAGTAATTCTTCACTATGGATGGTAAAAACTTCCACTTAACCTCCATAACCTCCGGTTTCTGAGTATCAAGTTTCTCCAGCTGCTTCCAAGCTCAACATGTGCCCTGCCTCAGCTTCAGCACCAAGTTACATTGAGAACATGCTTGTGGTTGTCTGCAAGTGCTATCTTTGTCCTGGATTACACCAACAATTGCTTACCAGAGCCAAGCACAGCATATAAAATCTTTACGTTGTGGAAAATGTCAAAAGAAAAAAAAGGAGAAAAAAGGGAAACTTTCATTCTGAGGAGAAAAAGGATAAAACTGAAAGATGCACAATGTATTTTCTTGAGGACACGCTAAACCGGAACACCTATTTTGAGTGGGTAACACATAATTCCAATCACTGAATGTTACAGCCATGTACCTAACGATCCTAATGAAGCTGATTTCACTTTTCAACGTGCCACATCACGAACTCCAAGGAGCAAAACAAAGTTGTGTAGTGAGTCTTTGCAGTTGTAAGACAAGCTTTCCAAGCTACATTTTCTCTCCTTGCCTCACACTCCCAGCCAGAGGAGTCATTACTTTCCACCTATGGGGAAAAGCCTCACACGCTGCCCTTCCCAAAACGGGTGCTTCCTCTAAAAGGCCTTGCTATGATTTTCACTCTGGCAGTATAAATGCTGAATTACATCGAGTGCATGAAGTTCAGCACAGCCAGTCTGAAGGAAACCAGAAACAATCATTAATAGCAACTTTTAAAAGAAGAGAGTAAACTGTTTTGGGTTTTCCACCTAACATCACTGTTTAATTCAAGTTTTATCTTTCAGTGTTAGCACTGCTCTTAGAAAAATCTGTGGGGGAGCAAGAATGACAGGCAGCTGCCCTTGCGCCAGGCTTCGCCCATGGAGACTGCCCACTGCCCACTGGCTTGGGGAGGACATGTTTCGCTGAGCCTCACCTGTGCGGACCCGACCTGTTCATGAAATTCAACGCAGCCGATGAAGACTGACCCTCGAGCTCAGAGACTTCTGCTACTGTCACATCGCTCGCCCACTGTGGCCAGCTGCAGTCACAGGTAAGTAATCTAACCTGTCCAAGTCTGGGGCCTCGTCTATAGAAGCATGAAGCTAAACCAGGTAAAAATTCTCTAAGCTTCTTTTCAAATATAATTCTCATAAATTTTCAGATATTTCACTGAATTATCACACAATGACTAAACATCTTTCTCTGGACAGACACTGGCTTGAGTTCGAACTGTGACTGTCCTACTGGTGCATTAAAAATATGTAGTTAAAACATAAACTTAGACTTAATGGGATAATAAAATGAGGCGCCTTCTTTAGCTTAGAAGTTACAAAATTTATGCACTTATGAATTAGTATAAAACCACACGTATGATACTGCCTAGACGACGAGAACGTTATTAAGATACTCTGAGTGATAAGTACATGAGACCTGCTGCTGACATCGTATCCTTTTGTGAAAACCAGTCAGCAATGTAGTTAGGCACGGTCTCCACGCAGCACGGATAAGAAGGCTGCTCCAACCCAACAAAGCAGGATAAAGTCAGCTGGGAGGAAGTTACTGCATGCAGCCCAAGCTGCCCAGGGCTGGGAGCTGCGTAGGACCACGCTGATCCGCGCCAGCCGGCTCTAATCCTCTGAAGATGAAAAGCACGAGACATCTGTATTTTCACCTTACATCGTACAACTGTTCAGAGTTCATCCAAAGCTCAATACACACACACACAGCCTCCTCTTGGGGTTTAGAAAGATAACCCAGTTGACAAGAACGACCTTGAAGAAATGAAATCCCAGAAATTTAGAAAATAAACAAATGACAGTAATATAAGGCAACGTGTAGTGCTGCAGTAGTCTAAACGTCCAGTGCGCAATACGGCGCTCCCAGTTAAGACAAAGCTAGCAGCGCTGAAGAATTATTGTAAGGGGAAAAGAGAGGACGGGAGGACAGCAGGTGCGGAGCGGCCGAGGAGCTCGCCCGCCCGAGGAACCGACCCGGCGCAGACCTGGCGCGCGGAAGCCCGGCGTCGCAGGCAGGGGCGGGAGGCGCCCGCACAGCCTAGCGACATCTGCGCTCCGTCGGGTGGCCGAGGACCGGGCCGGCAGCCCCGGGAGCGAGCCGACCCCAGCCTCCCCCGCAGCTCGGCTCACCCCTCCCGGATGCCTCTGGTCCGGCCCGGGCCGCAGGCACTAGCCATTGTGCGGGCGGCCGGCGGGGACCCGACCCGCGCGGAGGGAGACGGCGCCGAGCGCGGCCGGCCTGGGGCGCGGGCCTGCGTGCGCGTGAGGGCGGCCGCCGACCGGTGCCGAGCGCGCAGACCGGACGGTTAACCGCCCCCCCCCGCGCGCCTACAGGAGCCCGCGAGGCCCATCCGAGCCGCGGGCCCGGCCGGTGCGCCAGCCAAGGCCGAGAGCGGCACACCGGGGAGGCCGCCGCGCCACCCACCTGGCTCCAGGTAATGAACTCGTTGGTGTGGGCTTCCTCCACCAGCGTCCACAGCTTGCTGAGGAAGGCCGGCACGTTGGAGCTCTGCTTCATTGTTCACCGGCGCGGGACACGGCTCTCCACGGCGGATCGCGGCGGCGGCGGCGGCGGCGGCGGAGGCAGCGAAAACAGCGAAAGCAGCTGCTCGCCGAGGACGCCCACTGCGCAGGCGCAGCAGCCCGGCCCCGCCTCCTCGGCCCCGCCAGGCGCGCCGCGGCCTCACGTGACGGACAAATCTCTGCGCGCCGCCCGTGAGTGCTGGTCCCGCGCCGGTCCTGCCTGTGGCCAATCCCAGGCGTCGGTTGCGGCACGGAGAAACATGATTGGGTACCGGCGGCGTGGGGGGGCGGGAGCTGAAGGAGAAGCTGGGTGCCCATTGGCCTTTTGCAGCCGAGCGTTGGCTGTCGCGGCCGGTCCGGCGAGGCCGTGTTTGGCAGCTTCACGCGGAGAGCGCTTTGTGTTCCGGGCTGTGGCCGGAAGGCTGCCGAAGTGCCCAGGCCCTCTCGGGTCACGACTCTCCGTAGCGTGTGGTTTGCACCGGCAGGGAAGCAGTAAGTGGCAGTGGCGCTGGGGCAGCTTCCTAGCGCTCGGACCGGGCCCGCCTTGGAGCCGTCCGGAAGCGCCGGTAGGGTAGGGCCCGGCACGCCCGCCAAGGACGTCCGCGAGGGGCTCGGGCTGGTGCCGGTGTCGGTGCCGGGCCCGGGAAGCCTCTCGCGTCTGCTCCCCAGCAACAGACACCAGGCGTCTGCTACATGCTCCACCTAAGAACTGGGCCTTATACTCTGAGGCGGTCGGATGCTGCTCGTCCGCGCGCTTCACGGGAGCATTCCACCTGCCTGCGGTGCTTGGTGCACCGGGAAATACTGAGCTTCGGCTCAGCTTGAGAACGCTGGTGTACATGAGCCGTGAAAGATACGGGGAGCGTTTAAATCTCACTACACCAAAAGATGCCTCGTCATTCTGGCCACCCAGAAGCGCTTTGGGAAGCCCGCAGTTGTACTGTCCTGACTGCCTCGATGCCCAGGGACCCCACGTGTTTATCTTGCAAGGTCACTTGGGGAGGTCGGAAGCTGCGGGGGCCCAGGTGCAGTGAGCAATGCCGATGCAGACACACGACTGCGTTACAGGCCCGCCTTTTTGATGGACGACACTGAGCAGCGGGGTTCACATTATTTGTTAGCCACATCTCTTACACACGCATGGACACCCAGAAGTGCTTCAGAAACTGGCTGAAATGATAGCAGAAATGCACGTGAAGCGAAAATGAATCTTTTGAGGGTGATTAATGGCAGTGTGTCTTTTGCTATCATGAATTTTTAAAATTTAAACATTCACTGTATCCTTGGATCACCCCTTGTTAAATTACACCGGCACTGTGTCATTTGGAGCAATTTCTTCATGTGTCAGTGCCGAAATTGCCATTTTCTCCTCGGGAATGTCTTTATCTCTTAAGAGTGGCTGAAGTTAAGGCCGGGGATTTAGCTCAGTGGTTCCACCGCCCCCCCTCAGGAGCTCAAGATCCCGAGTTCGATCCCCGGTACATGTGAAAGAGTGGCTGAATTAAAGTTGTTTTACCAAAAGTCAAAACATGAAAATAAGATTGGAAACGAATCATAATTAATCATAATATACAAAATTCAACATAGGACTGGTTTATTTACTTCTGGGTATATGTAGAATAAAACATTAAAAAATAAAATGAGTATTTATTGAATACTGCTTTTATGTTTAGCACTGTCCTTTTCGCTGTAATAAAATCAGCTATATGGAGGAGATGAACTAATATTTGCCGAGTTCTTATATATGACAAGGGCTTTAGGTATATTATTTAATGCTTACATTAACCCAGTGAAGAGGCTTCCAAGCAGCTGGTGCACATGGCTATAAAATTTATCTGAGCAATCATACAAACTACATGAAATCAACAGTGCAACCAGACTTAGCCATTAAAGATTATTTTCCATAACAGGCAGAGTGAAGCTAAAGGTGAACTGCACTAGAAGTATCTGCCTACATTCTTACCCGGATGTGTTGATGTTCCTCAAGTTTGCAATGACCCAGGAAAGCATTAAGTAAATCACTTCACTTTCCTAGCCCTAGTGCTCTCTCCATAAAATATGAATGAAGTTACCTGCTATGCTTAAATCACAGGGTGAATATCAAATCAGTCACTTCTCCCTCCAGTCCAACTCCAGTCTTAAGGATCACTTTCAAAAATCTGAAAAGGTCACTACCTGACTTGAAACCATTCAGTGGCTTCCCGCAGTTTCCAGAATAAGTTCAGTGCCTTTACGATGGCAGAAACCTTCAGGAATCTGAGGCCACCAGCCATTCTAGGCATTGTCCATCCTGCTTCACGCTGAGCCTTTTCCACACTTGATTACTAGGTTAAATTACTGGTCTGGGTTTTCATACCTCTATGCACTTCTACCTGTGTTTCCTCTGCCTTGAGAGCCCGTCCTCATCTGCCAGTTTCATCCCTAACCTCAATGTCATGTGCAAGTCCATACAGAAGTCACGTCTTCAGTGAGACCTTTCTTCATACTCTTTATTATAGCATCTTATTATATTACATTATAATTATTTACTTGTTTCTTTTACATCGGACTATGAAAACTTCCATATCCATATTGAGACTGACCTAGTTATGTTCATTCATCGACAGTTGCCGGGAGCAATGCTACATAATTTTATGGAAAAATCATTTGGTTAGCCTAGTTCTCCTTCCTACAGACCAGCTATGGAATTCCAAGACATAATTCCATTTTGGCCTCTGGTCACAACTGAGACCTCAATGATCCGGTGATCCTGGGAGGAAACAGACCTTCATCTACTCAGTTCCTCATTCATTGTTCTTCGATTGCTACATCTTGTACTGAACTCTCCCCAAATTGTTTGTTACATCTTGTTTACCCTGATGTACTGAACTCTCTGCAAGTCATTTGTTAACATTTGTTTCTCCGTGCGGTAAACTGGAGGCTTTCGGCTTTGCCACCCAGAGCAGCACTGATCAGACCCAAAGCTCAGCTTCTTCTCGGTCTCATTTTTCTACCTTTCCTGTAATTCGCCGTGTGCTGCCGTGGCTCACAGGAGACCAGGACTCACTGCAGAGGTTCTGGTAACATCCCCTTTCCCTGTTCCCTACAATGACTTAAGAATTTGGTATATATTAAACTCAATAATATTGAATAAATAGATGAGTACACAAAACGGTAATTTTTTTCCTTAAATTCTTTCAGGTATACGGTACATTTACATTTATCACTGGGAACTTGTGCCTGTACATGATGTATCTTGGTTCTTATTTTTTTCCCATTCCCTTGCCCTCCCTCCAACCCCTCCACCCCTCCCTATGTACAAAGACTTTGTTTCCATTTTTTTCCTTTTCTCATATTTTGTCCTTTCCCTTCTTTCCTTTCCCCTACTCCTTGCACTTCCCCTTCCCCTTTAGACCTTTTCTTCCTATTTCACATTATCAATTATTCATTTTGATCCTTATTTACACTTTCAGTTTCTCACACCAAAAAACTATTCGGTATTTACACATGTGTGGCCTATTTATTTCACTTAAGGGTATGGCCTCAATGTGCATCCATTTAGCTATAAATGTCTCTAGTTTCTCATTCTTTATGGCTGAGTAGTACTACATTTTATAAAAAAAAAAAATACATCATTATCCAGTCTCCACTTGATGGGCACTTGGGCTGTTTCCAAGCTTTAGCTATTAGAAACTGTGCGGCTATAAACATGGGTGTGCATATATCTCTGTGGTATGGTTCTTTTAGTTCTTTGGGAAAAATCCCCAGCAGGGGAATAGCTGGGTCAAATGGGACCTCTAAGCCCAGTTCTTTGAGGTATCTCCATACTGATTTCCACAGTGGTTGCATCAGCCTGCACTCCCACCAGCAATGGAGAAGGGTTCCTTTCTCCCCACACCCCTGCCAGCATTTGATATTGGTTGATTTCTTGATAGCAGCCATTCTTTCTGGGGTGAGGTGGAATCTCAGTGTTGTTTTCATCTGCATTTCTTGAATGACCAGTGATGT